CAAGAACGCAGGACAGTACTTGTCGGGGGTTGAGGACACCGACTTCGGAGTCAGGGCGACCTGGCCTGAACTCAAGCCCTCCCTCTTCCTAGTCCTGTAACCCCGGACAAATCACTTACTTTATCTCACTGTACGGCGGCGCCGAAAGCAACGCAGGGCATAGCAGCTCTCGAAGGCTCGGCCCAGCGCCTGGCGTGGCGGGACAGCGGACCGCGATGGGGGCGGGGACCCAGGTTCTGCGGCGGCTGTCGGGGTGGGGCTACGGTGGACAGGTGAGGGGAGCGCCCCACTCGTGGCCTCCCACCCACGCATCAGAATCGGACCCTGTGAGCAGGCTCAGGGCCGTCGTACTCTGTGGAAGACGTTCTAAGGCCAAAGGGAGGAGCGAGTCCCTGAGTGGGTGTTCACATTCCCGCTGTCGCCACGGTTTTCCAGCCGGCCCTGGTTTTACTGTAGAGTCCGGATCTGCCTGCCCTTGGCCGAGCTTTTTGACTCCCTCCCCCACCGACCCCCTGGCACACTATGAGGGGTTCGGGCCACCGACCGCTCCAACAGCGAGGCCTGTCCTGGGACGCTGCCCGGAACGGAGGTTCTGAGAAGCCGGACCCCTGTGTTGACAAGATAAGGCAGAGCACACGCTGAAAGCAGCCCGGTCTGGTCTAACAGAAACCTCGCTGGAGCAGGCGCATCCCACATTCCTGCCGGCGACTCCCCGCCAGCTGTGACCCCTCCACGCCATGCGTCGCCTCTCATGGCGGCCAGCCGTTCGCTGACCAGTGTCCTTGGTGATCTGTCTTTGCCCCTGGGGAGAGGCAGCAGCGTGGCCCTGGAGACTGAATGTGGGTTCTGAAGTCAGGAGAGGTAGGTGGGCCCCCTGTGTTTCCAGTTCTGGGAGCGTGCGCTGGTGAGCCAACTGGCTGGCCTCCCCCCCCGAGGAGGGGAAGGAGGAACCTCTGCCTCCAGGGATGCTGGGAGACGATTAAATGCAACGGCCCGCCAGGAGGTGGGCGCAGGGCATGCGTGAACTGCCTTCCCTTGATCCTAACAACAGAAAGACGAGATTTGCTTTCTGTCTAACAGGACTTCATACGAAAGGTACAATGATTCTTTTCTCTTATTAATAATGTTCCAAAAGTCATTGAGTCTTGATTGCTAGAATTAATTAAGTAGCTCTCTCTTTGGAGAGAATCTTTCCCACTCATCTCATTTTCCAAAAAGAGTAAACTGAGGCCCAAGTTCACGTAAAAAAGAGAGTGTTGGTCCAAAGACTGGGGCCGGCGGGAAATAAGAGGCACAGGCCAGCTCTGACCCTTGGACATCACAGAGAAGGGAGAGAGAAACCGAGAATTTTTAGCACCAAAGTTAATTAACTCGTTTCTCTTTGCCCTCTCCTTATTGTTTCTAGAAGCAATTATGTCTCCTACCCTCTCCTACCTCCTGCTCCTGCATAAAACTGTCACAGATTAAATCAAATTATTCAGCCATTTCATTAGGGGACTCCAGCTCTCATTCTCTGGGGCATTTTTCACTCTTCTCCAATAAAAATCTCTCTCGGCTAAGTTAACCCCTTCCTGGAGGCCACAGGAAGCCGGTGAGAAGGCCACTGAGGGGCTGGGGGACCTGAGGGGTTTTCTGACCAGCGTGGGATGCGGTGGGCTTGGGACCCCACCCCAGCCCTGGCCTGAGCCTGCAGGCCGACCTGCCAGGCAGACAGGGAGGGGGTGTGTCCCAGTAGAAGACCCTAGATGCCTGCGACCTACTGCACCTTCCTCATCTCCTGACCCAGGTGTGTTTCTTTTCTTGGAGGGGCCCCAGTTTTCCCATCTGAAAGTTGCAAGTTTCGAGTCTTTTTTCCCCCTGTACTAGATTCCATGAACTCCCCCAAACTAACACGCGGATGTTTGAGGATTACAAAGCTGTTGGGAAGAGAGGTGAAGTTAGAACTCCTTTGCACGGGTAACCAAGTCTTTTCCCGAGGAGTTTGCTGGAGTTGTGACGTAAAGGAAGGGACAGGGTAGACGGGGGAGGCAAGGCCGCTGCTTGGCAGTGACTTGGAGGAGGAGACGGAGCGGGAGGGCAGAGAAGACAGGCCAGGGGACCGGGGCCAGGGGTGTCTGGAGCGGGGGTGTGACACCCCAAGCGGGCACTCTGGGCACAGGGTTCAAGGAACAGGACTCTGTCATAGTTGGTCCTTGGCCCCCAGTGCCAGGCTGTAGGAAACAGAATGGCATTGTGAGGCAACAATGCAGTGCTCTGTGTGGGGACCCGAGAGAGAGCGACGTGGGGGAGGCCCACACACATGGTTCACGGCCATCTCTGCATGATGGGCCTGCCAGGGCCTCTCCTCATAGGGCCCAGCAGCTTCCTACAGCCAGCCAAAGGCCGTGGCAACGACAGACGGGGCAGCCGGGGGACAGGGGTGGCTGGTGGGCTCCAGGAAGGCACTGGGAATAGGAGAGAGGTGACAAGAGGCCTCGATGGGACGTCTGTGCACACCAGGCGGCTGCCGGCTTCTTCGAGTCAGAGGCTGCCAGCTTTGCCCCTTCCCCGGAAGTCTCTACAGTGGGTGGGACCATGTGGGGTCAGGGCCCCACAGAGTGGACCCTCAGGGCATGTCTGCTGAACTGCAGGGAAAGAGGCTTCTGGCCTTTCTACAGGCATGGTTTCCCAAGCACTTTTTTAGGAGCATTGTTTTCCCTGACTACATGCAACAGTCTAGGGGCTGGGGACAAAGGAGACTCGTCCCCGCCCCTGGACCCAGGCTGATGGTGTTGAAGCCTGCCAGCCTGCCGGGAAGGCCCTGTCGGGGCCGGAAGCGCCCCCTTGGCTGTATCCGGGGCACAGCAGGCCAGGTGGAGAAGGAAGGGCCCGGGCCCCGCATCAGGGGAGGTTCGCCCTCATACCCTGCCCTGTCGATTCTCGGTGCAGAGCCCAGTGTGACCAGAATAAGGTGGGATTCTTCACTTCCAACAGGTGGCCCATTCCAGCCACACCTTCTAGGGTACAGGATGAGTTGATAGTTTTTGCAAACTCTGTAATTATCTTAGGAGCAGCACAAGTATATTATGATATGTTAGTCTGAGTTATAACTGATTATGGCTCGTGTAAATATTTAAAGTATATTAACTCTCAAAAAACCCTCATTTGTGTTTTCCTTGTTCCCTAATACACAACGCATTCCACCTCTCCCCTTCTCCTCCCAAAATTAGGAAGGGGTGCAGACCTCCCTCAGCCTTGGAAAGGCTTGCTCGGAGCTCATAGAGTGTTCTAGAACCTCAAGGTATAGTGCACAGAGGAAGGATTTAAGGCTGGGTGTGGTCAGACTGGTTGACTTTTGGACCCTTTCAGACTCCTAAGGCCTTGATCCTAAATGGCAGACAAAGAAGGGGATGCAGCCTCAAGTCTCTAGTTGGGCTGCACACGGCTGGGGTCCTGCGCCATCTACTTTGCTCTTTGTCCCCGCAAGACAGATGATGCAGCGCCACGGCATGGTCTCTGGGCTGCAGGCAGCTGGGAGGACAGCTTTATGCTGTAACCATCTAAGTCCCTTTCTGAAATCCTTGCATGAGGCCCACAGTTTGAATGCTCATCATTAGGAACAATCAGAAAAGGCACTAGAAATGGCAATAATTAACATGTGTTTTTCTGTAGGGCCATGTTCTTAAGTGTTTCACATGGCTTATCTGTTAATTTTGCAGCCACGACTCAATGTCACTTTATTATTATTCCCCACAACAGGCAGAAGAGGTCATTAACGTTCCCAAGGTCATCTAGCTCATATGTTCTAAGCCAGAACCTGAACCATAATGGGACAAACCAGAGATTTAACATCTGTGGTTCAAATCCCAGCCCCGTGGTTACATGCTGAGTGACCTTAGACAAGTCCCCTATCCTCTCTGAGACTCAGTTTTCTTCACTGCAAATGGGGTTAGGGTGCAGGGACTTTACAATAATCAAAAGTATACAATGAAATCTATATGTGAAATCTAATCAATGGAATATCACACAACCATTAAAAAGAATGAAGTCTTGCCATTTGCCACAACCTGGGAGGACCTAGAGGCTACTATGCTAAGTGAGATAAGCCACACAGAGGAAGACAAAGAGCATATGATTTCACTTATATGGGAGATCTAAAGAGCAAAACAAACAAAACAGAAACAAACTATAGCACAGAGAACAAATTGGTAGTTGCCAGATAGAAGGGGGTTGCTGGGCTGGATAAAAAAGGGGAAAGGAATAAGGAGTACAAATTGCCAATTACAAAAACAGCCACCGAGATGTAAAGTAGAGCACAGCAGATACAGTCAATAATATTGTAGTGACTATGGGTCGTATCAGGGTGATCGCCTCATAAGTTTTGTAAGTGTCAAATCCCTCTGCCGCACACCTGAAACTAATACAATATTGTATGTCAACTGTCACTGAAAAACAATTTTTTTAGAAGTACCATCAGACGTAAAACTATGAGGCATACAGCAATATGTGGTTTTATCACGGAGTTCTCCTTTTGCACCGTTTGTTAGAGCATGTTGAGAAACCCACACAGAAGAGAGAAGGGTGAAACAGACAGGCCCCCCGCCCCTCGCCGGGTCAGCAACTGCTGATACAGCGCCGTGCTGGGGGCCGGGGGCACAGGGGTCCGGGGAGGCCTCAGGAGCCAGGGACCCTGCAGGCCACGTGACATTCTCAGTTTTTCACACAAACACGGCTGGCAGCTTTCTGTCACCCAGCGTGCAAGGGAATGGAAACTTTCGCCACCAACAGCAGCACTAGCTACTTCCTTCTCTGTGGTTTTTTCTCTGTCATTCCCTTGATAAAAGAACTCACACTGCGTAAATGTAACCAACATTCACGAATCTCATCTTCACATGAAAACAGCCACCTTTCAAGAGCGAGCTGCCTGAGACATGAGGCACGATGTACCGTAAACTGGGTCACTCCGTACCCAGTAGGTCGGGCGCGTGGCTGACTGTCCGTGTGTATCCTCTGTGCCGCAGGCTCCGCGCGACGTTCACACCCCGGGGAGCAAGAGAGATGGGGAACAGCATGCGGTCCAGCCCGGCGCCCCCCGAGAGGCCCCTGCCCTGCCCGGACGGTAAGTCTGGCTTCTCTGGTGCGACGCTTAACTCTACCCCACAGGAGCCGGGGGGGAAGATGGGGCGACGGGGGTGCTGGTTCCTGTGCGGACAGGACAATGGGTACATACGGGACCCCTATACTTGCCTCCCTCGCGTTGTGTGTAGTTAACACTTTCATGGTTAAATGTTTAAAAAGACTGGGCAGGAGCACCCTGGAAGGACGCCGATTTGCTGGCGTTTTGGGATGGACCTCTGAGAAAGGCTGGTTTGATCCCTTCACTTTACAGGTGGAGAAAACTGAGGCCCACAACAGGAGCGTAAGGTCTTTGTAGATTCCTACCCAGGCTGGTCTGATTCTGAAAGTTAGGCTCCTGCTTACCATATACCCCGCCAGCCAGCGGTGCTGTGACCCTACCATGGGTACCTATCATCAGCGCTCTGCTAGGGCTCTGGTGGCGTCACGTGATAAAGCCAGACGCTAGACCTAGGAAATCTGCCTGAAACTGGAGGAATTCTTGTGTTCCGTTGGTCAGGTGTTCCCGGGGGAGGGCACAATGCCACAGGTTGATCAGTGATGACAGAAGTCCGCTTTTCCCAGAGATACCAGGTGGAGCCAGGCTCCTGAAGCGGCGGTCCTTCAGGGGCTGGCCAGAGAGCTTGGAGCGGACACCAGCAAGCAGGAAGGGATGGCCGAGAGTAAAACCCCTCACCCTCTGCTTCATGGTGCTGGTTGCTTCTAACAGCCTGGCTTTATTTGTCAGGCAGGGCGTTGGAGGACATGCTGTTTAGGTCTCCTAGTGAGCTGGGAGGGGGGTGGCCAGGAGGTCCAGTGACCCATCAGTGTCCCCAGGGCCAGTCACTGGAGACCTTGACACATCTCCTGTCTCATTGCACAGCACGGCAGTCGGGGCCGGGCGTCCCCCTCTGGACAGGGCTGACCACACCTCATTCCCCATGCCCCCTGCGCCACAGCACTGGGCACAGACATCCTCTGAGCGTCTGCCAGGCTGCGGCTCAGCATGTGAGTGGACAGGGCCAGCCCCTGCCCTGCCTCTTCCTACTGCTCATTCCACGGCTTCTGTGGCCCCTACAAAAGCAGCCTTCTCGCTTCTTCCAAAATGGAGACCCCCAGGTTCTTTCCGGTCTTGGGGCTCCTCAGATGTCCCCATGGGAGCGCGGACAGACCCTGATGCCCTGCTCCCCACCCAGGTCAGATGCAGGGCACTTTGAGTGGCCCTCCTTTCCAGCCCAGTAATTGTTCCTTCAACATAAGAGGGGAAAAAAGGACAGTTCCTGGGAAGAAGGAGCTGGAACCACCTGATGTGGTGGAGCAGAGTGTGTGCCCCACGGCCTCTGAGAAGCAGGGTCCCTTACTTCCCAGGCAAAGCTCAGACCTGCGTGGGGCTGCTGTGTCTGCGGCTGCCGGCTGCCCAGACAAAGCCCGGGCGTCTCCTCCCAGCTCCTCCAAGCCAGCCCAAGTCATGCTGCCTCCCCAGGCCACGGCCATTTCTAGAAAACTGACACCGTAATGCAGAGGGCCCAGGCCAGCTCAGGAGGCACCCCCGGCACTGAACCCGTCTTGCGTTGGCACCTCTCACACGGGGGCAACGGGGGCTGCGTGCTTGAGCAAACGCCATGAAAACATGGGCCTCCAAAGCTTGCTCATTTGCCTTTATTTTTTTACATGCAAATCGTTGTGAAACAAGTTTCTCTTTTTCCACTGTGTGGGTGGGAGGTCACCTCGAGAAAGGAGGGAGAGGGGTCTCCCCACCCCTCCACCCCCTGGGTAGAGAATTCCCCCGGTCAGACCCAGTTTGTAATCCAGGCGACCACATCAAGGGCAGGCGGGTGGCTTTTCCATCCCCCACCCCTGAAAAGTTCCCCTTGTGATCAGTCCTAACTTGATTTCCTCTTTTCTTTGACACCTACGAGGATGAGGGAGGAGAAAGCCGTACCGTTGGTGCTGCATTTCATTAGCCTTTATCCAAATGACGGGCAGGGCTCACCTTTCATGGAGCTCGCACCCCCTCAGCTCACGCTCGCGCTTACTCATCTGGTTAGTCCCAGACGCCAGGGGCGGTGCGCGGGGCTGCTGCCTCAGTCCCCAGGCGTTCAGGGCCTCCCAGCTGTTAGCTTCAGGGATGGAGGGTTAAGTGCCAAGGCCCCGCAGAAGGCCAACCTGTAGACTTCGAAGGTGGACAAATTTCCTGAGCTTTCAGGAACTCGTTCTTCCCTCAAACCAGAACTGTAACTCTTCTCCTAAACTAAGCTTTCCAGAACATTCCTGGTGAGTCTCGTTTCCAGAGACTAACACCACAACAGTCAAAGAGGTAGCAGAGCTTACAGAAATAGGGCAGGTCTTAGAGGCTGCTGGCCTTGTGGAGCTTCTGGTATTGTGCCCTGGAAGCTGTGGGACCTTAAGTAAGTCACCCAGCCTCCCAGGAGGCGGGACTCCGCTCTCAAAGGTCAGAACAATCCCTCCCTCAAGGCCACAGGACAGCACGAAGCAGCTCCCTGATAAATGTGGCTGGAAACGCTGTTTTTAAAACTCCATTTGGGGTTATTTGATTGCACAAGGCTGTGTCTAAAAGGCTATTTCCCCCCAGAACATTTTCAAGTGGCTGGACAGAGGATTCCATGACTTGTTTTCCAATTGTCCTGAAGAGCTCATTTACTGTACAGTTCTCCCCGCATTTCAGACCCCTGCTCTGTGTCAGGCACAGGTGGTACAGACTGGGACAAAACCAAGGGGACGCCCGTGTCACGGGGAAACAGCGTATTTCCATCTTGTAAAAGGAGAACCGAGGCTCGTCGCTGTGGTCTAGTCCCCGCCCCTGGTCAGCTCTCCCCTTCGCATCACCCTGACCTAAAGCGAGGCCTCACTGACGTAGGAAGAGCTGCGAGCCCAGACGCTGTGCGGACCCCTTGTGTGCAAGGATGGAAATAATGCTAAGCAGTGTATTTACATAGCATCGAGGGTTCTGCCTTGGTGGAAAAAAGGGGTGGGCGGGGTTCTGGGGAGGAAGAAGGGGGCAGGGAAGTCTCAGGCCCAGCCTGGCACATCTCAGGGAATGGTCCTCAGACCACTGGCCTCAGATCCCCTGGGAAGCCATCAAGTGCGGATTCCCGGGCCCCACCCCAACCTGCTCATGAGAATCCAGTGACACAAGTGTGGGGGAGCAGCACACTTAATGGCTGACAAGCCCCCGGGTGCATCTTGAACCCCTAAAGCTTGCAGACCACAGACTTAGCTTTTAGTCTGGCCCTTACACAAACACCCAACGACTGACGCGATCCCTCGGCTGTCTCTGCCGTGTTCTCTGTTCTCACCTGTGAAACGGGGATAATTAGGGTCACTTCGCACTTACAATGCTCTGGACCTGATGCCAAGTGCCTCACACACAGCGGGCCTTAATTCTCATGATGGCCGCAACGGGCCATCACCCTCATCCTCTCCACTTTTCAGTTGAGGAAACTGAGGCACAGGCAGGTTCAAGGCCATGCCTGTGGCCATACAGCTCAGAAGGGGTGACTGGGGCTTGCAGCCAGGTAGCCTGACTTCAGAGTCGCTTCCTTTGCCCCAGCACTACAGGCCAGGGGAGGAAAAGGCGGGGCTTTCAAGGCGCTCAGGTGTCCTGCGAGGGAAGAGGTGCTCTTTAGAGCGAGGAAGAGCATGGTGGTCAGGTTTAACGGCAGACATCCCAGCACCCTTGCGGGGGACACCACAGACAGACAGGGCCTGCACCTGATCCAAAATCCCCGAAGGGATTTCCCACTGGGGCCCCGAGTCGCCCCGCAGCTGGTAGCCAGGCGGGCTGAGGTGGGACGGGATTATCCACTTTCTGTATCACTGTGCACGTCACGGATGCGATAGGACAATAACGAGCCCATCGCACCCGCAATGTCACGCTGCTTGGAATGGGACTAAAGATTTTCTAAGTGCGCCGACATGCAGAAGAGCGCTGCGAGGTGAGGCGCAGTGCAGGCAGCACTCGGCTGCGACCGGGGGCGCTGCTGGAGGGCGGCAGTGCCCGTCTGTATTCTCTGCTGCTGGCCGCCTGGCTCTGAGACGGGGCCCTCGGCTTAGCAGGTCTGCGCTCCTAGGCGAGTCTCTCCACCTCCTCGCTGTGGCATCTGAGAGCCTTTGAGTCTACTCAGCCCGATCAGTCCCTAACAGATAGAGGAACCAAGGCTTTGGACAGAAAAGAGCTTTTTGACCACTTTCCAGACCACAGGACAGGACGGCAGGCACAACCTGTGCTCTGTGGTGACCAGCAGAACAGGGCTGACCTTCCATCAGGCCAGCCTGCCCAGCCCTGTCTGATTGGTCAGCTGTATGTGCATGTGTTTCCTGGAGAAGCTACGGAAGCAAGGCCTTCTTTGACACCCCCGCCCCCCAACCCGGAGGCCCTGAGCTCGGGCATGGCTCAAGGAAGGCATCAGCAGAAGCTGAAATCTCTGGCTTCAGCTCCTTGCCCACCGACGACGCTGGGCTGCTGTGCCAATTCTGATGCCTCATTTAAACCAACCTTTGTCCCAAACCGTCAAGGATCAAGTGTTAACTTGGGGGAATCTGGTAATTCAGTGCCAGGAAAGCTTTGTGGCTTTGTGACATGACCATCGACTTAGAAATCTTCATAATCTCTCCTGGACATGTTTCTAAAACTCCCCAGCCTTGGTTTCTTCACCCTTTAAATGAGGATAGATGCTCCCTAATGAACGCCTGCTTTTGCTAGATGATTACAAATGAGGTCCACTAAAAGGTTTTCCGCATTTAAAAGGTAGTAATAATACTCCAAGAAATAACAGTGCAATAAGAAAGGGAGGCTGTCATCTCTGACCAAGTCATATCTGTGGCTAGTAGGTTCTGCCTGGGTTTCCTTCCTTTTTTGGATTCCTTTTCTATTTTTACACTTTTGTACATTTTGTTCAGTCTGACTCATTTTTGATTTAAGCTATCAGCAAATATTTGGTGTTTTCAATTTCATCTTCTGTTCTTACCAAATGGAGTTTGTTTTCAGCAGATAAGAATATTTTCAAATTCACATGACTAAGAGGCTTTTGGAAATCCAAGCGGCTGTGGCCTGAAATGCGTTTGGGATTGCGGAATGATAACCTGCCCCTTCGTAAACGAGTGATACGGCTGCCCGTGTCCCGACCCACCTGTGCGAGGCAGCTTTGCCATTTCCCGTTTTTGTACATAAAGAGATCAAGCTCAGATTAGTTAAAAATAAACCTCTTCCCAAACCGCAGAGCTATTAAGCGGTGGAGGTAGAATTTAAGACGGGTCTGATTGATTGCAAAGCCCATTCTCTCTTCTGAAAATTCTCTCTGGGTTTCTCTTTTCATTCCTGGCACGTATTCCGTCACTTAATTTGCTGTCTTATCTCCTGTCTGCAATAATCCCTTCGGCTTCTCCAGCGCTCCTCCAGGTCACTCACTGATCTGGTTTAATTCCAGCGCTCTGCTCTCTGTAAAGCCAGGGGGCTCCAGGAATGCGTGACAATACATGGGAACTTGACGAGCAAACTTAAATGTCCTAGCTGCATGTTTTGTACTGCAGGGGCCAAAGCTCAGGGATGACTTAGGTGGGATCCCACCATCTGACCGCATGCGGAATGACCACCCCTTCATGAGAACTGCCACCCACACCCCAGTGCCTTCTCCCCTTGCTGTCTTCAGTTTCCCGGACACTGGTGATAAGGTGACTGCAGTGGTTCTGAGCTCTCACAAAGGGCCACGTGAAGGCGATTATCTTTAAGCAAAAGCCCCGGTGAAAGATTTATCTGATGTTTAGGCCTTGTGTTTTGTCGCTATAAATGCAACATTATTATGGGGAATTCCACAGGAAACTCACCTTTGCTGTTATGAAATTGAAACTCTCCAGCCCCTTAAGCATCTTCCCCCGCTCCCGCTGGAACCAGTGTGTTTATAATGGGGTTTTGCTTTTGCTTCTGTGTCTGCTAGTTTTCGATTTTAACGTTAGGAAAAACAGTTGTTCTGTTCCACAGCCTCGCTCTGGAGTCAGAGATCAAAGCCTCAGCCTTTCTGCAGACACACGCTCCAGGCCAAGGTTCTGTCATGGGCACCGATGATACTGTGGCTCTCCTGCCAACACTTGTTTCTCCCTGGGGCTGGCCCGGTGACGGCCTGCTTGCCACGCTGCCTGCCACACACCGGGTGTGCCTCTCCTGCTTGCTCTGCCAGCAGTGGCAGGTCGGAGGGGCCCAGTAGCACAGGGACCTCTCCCTGTTGTCATCTGATAAGCCTGCCTTGAGCGTCCTTGATGGTACAGGCATGGGGCTGGGCCCGGCGCCACCAGACAGCTGCCCCGGGCTGGACAGTCATCTCCCTGATAGTCACAGGAATTAAGAAATATGACCTGACCTGACCTGGAGTAATTGCTTCCAAGGAAATGTGAGGGCGGTGGGGGGTGGGGGCAAGAGGGGTACAGCAGGAAAGCCTGCCCTTTGGCAGCAGGTGGGCGGGGGGGGGGACTTTGAGCAGATGGAGGCAGGAGGGATGAGAGAGGGAAGAGCAGGGTGTATCCCTGGTAGAGGGCACAGGCTCTGAGGGTGCAGGAACTGGCATGTTGAGAAAAATCGAACTGCTCGTCACTCTGTTCCGGAAGCAGTCGGGACCATGTGAACAGGTCGTCTGCTCACATCTGGGGCCACTTGCCCGGATTTCCACTATGATGGCCATTTCCAAACCCTCATTTTCCAGGCAAACCCAGGCCCACGTGGGAAAGGATGCAGCCACACTCAGAAAAGTGGAAAAGCGGCCTCTGAGTCGGGGCGGAGTGACTGGGAAGCCACACAGGCTGCGTGCATTAGGCCCCTCACTAGCAGGGCACCGTCTTGGGGCCCGTCCCCTATTCTGTACGTGCAATTTCATATTCTTTTTCTTAAGAAGGACCTCCAAATTTACATACGCTTCACGCCCCACCAAACCTGGACCCGCCTCTGATTAGAGCCTGGGTCTTCTGCCTTCAGGCCCAGCGCACACACACCTTCGCACCGCCTCTGACTCCTGGGGCGCGGTCTGGGCTGCACACCCCACAAAGACTCCTTTTGTTAGCTCGGCAGCGCGGACTGTGAGGGAGGCCGCCCCCAGGCTCAGGGCAGGTCAGAGGTCTCACTGGGTCAGCCCCTCCGCGCTGACAATGCTCCTTGTCACAAGCCCGGATCCCCTTCCGTGACGACTGCCACCATGAATCACTTTTGGTTTCCATCACCTACCCAGTGATGATTTAACTCTCTGCAACTCAGTTTCTCCAAGTGCCTCATTTGTCCTATGTCAAAAAGACCTCGTTCACCTTTCTTACACATTCTAGTACTTAAGCTCTCTTTTGACTTGGTCTGTCTGGGGCTGTCTGGATCCTAGAAAGCAGCCTGTTTGGACCACCCAGGCTGCCATGCCCGAACGCTGGATTCTCCAGATTTTCCTGGGTGAATGGGGCAGGGAATGGCCTCTCTTACTGCTACTTGTGGAATCTCTAGAAGAGTCTAGAATGTGGGCTCCATCCGAGCAGGGAGTCTTAGTTTGCTGTGTCCCTCATGCTTGGCCTATGAGAGGTGCTCAGTGAATAATTGTCAATGAATGAATAAATGTTACCCAAAATTTTGAGTTTTGATGCCCAGTCAAACCTGACGGTGGAATGATAACCGTCAGAGCAAAAAATTACTGTATTTGATGATTTGTCCCAATATTACCCTGAATCCAATGCACCTGAAACCACTAAGGCTGTGAAACAAGGACTTTGCTTACTGATGAAAAATAAATTCCTATCTTACCTCTGTATCTCTCCTCTACAGTAAGCTGTGCTCATATCTGAGAAGGATCACGCTCTCCTTCTCAGAACCTCACCAAAATTATTTTCAATATACAAACGATGAAAAGTACTTAATTTTTCTTTCACCCCCACCCCCAAAATCTCTCTTAAAGAGACCCCCAACATGGTGCCTTATGTTCTGCGAAGAAGAGGTGCTATATTCAGATTCAGAGTTGGTTTCTGGGTTCTGAAGAGCCCTCAGACCTCATGTAGACTAACCTCCCACAGCACCACAATGTTATCAGTGGGGGACCCTCAGGGCCCAGGCAGGACACCCAGGGTAATCACAATAAGAAGGGATGGTTTTAGAGCCCCTTGTCATTTACAAGGTGCTGCCATATACTTTCATCTCATCTCATAAGGACCCTGGAATGAGGTATCATTAGCCCCATTTTAAAGGTTGAGAAATCGAGCCTGGTAGGCATTGTGGGACTTGCCCACGATTACATGAATCAGTAGACATGGGGGCAGATGCGGAGGGCGGATCTTGTGCCTGCACCTCCAGGACCTCTGGATCCCTATGTCTCAGATGGGACCATCGGGGCCAAGGCAGGCCTGAGAATGGGAGGAGGTCACTGGACCCTCAGGGATCCCTCAAGTTCCCTGTGCCACCGTCCCCAAAGAGAGGAGGGCCTATTCTGCAGGTTGCTGTTTCAGAATAAGTCAGGTGTCTCTAGCTGCAAAGCCCCCAAGAGGGATTCACCTTCGCACCCACCCCGGCAGGACCTCCTGTTAGCTCCTTGTGAAAAAGAACACCGTTTGTCTCCATTTCCCCAGGCCTGGACAGCGACTACCTGGCCGTGCTGAGCGACTACCCGTCTCCCGACATCAGCCCCCCCGTATTCCGCCGAGGAGAGAAACTGCGCGTGATTTCCGAGTGAGTCAGCGTTCAGAGACTTCTGCAATACTCTCAGAAAGGATGGGCTCGATTTGGCGGCTGGGGGGCGGTGGGGAGATCGTTAGGTTTTAGCTATGGCCGTCCAATTCCCTACGGGCCCTGGTCCTATTGCGCAGGGAGAAGTTTGGCCCACATAGAAGGCCTGCAGGCTCCGTCCTTCTTAATGCTGCCAATGCTCTGAAGCCTTCAGTGGCTCCCCATTGCCTACTGGATGACAGTTCAAATCGACCCTTTACGATCCAAACTCTCCTTCCCCATCAGCCTCATCTCCCATCGCACGTGCAGCATGGATGTTAATTGCCAGCGCGGACCCAGGAAGGAGAGCCCAGGGGTCTGAAAAAAGTACTCAGGATAAACAGCATCACCTCCTCTCCCATTGTCCCTGATTTGAACTAGGCAGTAGAACAAATAGGGGTTCTAATCCCCTTTTATTTAAATCTCCATGGACATAGACATGTGAAACTGGCTTGGTTATATCATAGGGTGTAAATCAGTACAAGCACACACTTATTTTTTAAAAGCCTCCAATTGCGGAACATCAGCTGGAAGCATCTGCTGCTGATCCCTGGTGGCTATTGCCAGCATGTGGGAAGGTTTCCTAATTAGTTTGGAATGGGGGGGATGTACTTAAAAACGAAATTTTCAAGTGGAGAAATCTGGGTCAACACGACCAATGATAGAGCTTTAAAAAGAACGTTCCAACGCACCCTGGGTTAAATCTGAGTATTCTGTGTATCCATTCATTCATTTTGCTAATTAGCTACAACGCTCTCCTATCTGTTCTTGTTCTTACAGTGAAGGAGGCTGGTGGAAAGCCATTTCCCTTAGCACTGGCCGAGAGAGTTATATTCCTGGAATGTGCGTGGCCAGAGTTTACCATGGGTGAGTACATCTCAAGTAGCATCAATGCAGCAAGACATTTATGCTAATGACCCACAGCCTGGTACAGTGCAAAGGACAGCATTGATTTGAGAAAGTCATTGTTACTCTCATCAGTAGGACAAAGGGGCTTAGACCCTTCAGCTCTAACTTGGTGTTCCAAGCACACAGCAATCAACACCCAGGAAAAACAGGGATGCAGTCCGTAGAAGGACTAAGTCAGTCTGCCTAGGTTCTAATCCCGCTTCTGTCCCTCACTGGCTATGTGACAGCAGGCAAGCCACTCAGGATCGTGCATCCGTTTCCTTTCCTTGCCCGTCAACTAGAGATCGTAATGCAGAATTATAGAAATAATAATATGGAATAATGTGATCCAAGTAGAGGGCTGTTAGGGCAAGGAGACGGGGTAATGCACGGATCATTCTTGGAACTGTGCAGGGCACTACATAAAGCACTCGGCACACGCTGGCTACGTTCTTCTCAACCATGTGCAAAGGGCACTTAGCACCAAAAACGCTTATGTCTCCAACTCAACAAACAGAATCAAGCAGAAAAGGAAAGACTAAAAAAAAAAAAAAAAAAAAAAAATCAGGCGTGGAGGAGGGGGAAACGCGCGCCGCTCTGCCCGGCAGCTTTGCAGGAGGAGCCCTGCGGCCTGCGGGGCGGCCTTTGCGGGCCGGCATCCCTGCGGTCTCCTCGCAACGGGGCTTCAGGAGCCAGCCCCTTCGACCGGCAGCTTGCACACCATGGGGAACGCTGGAGGGTGAGAAACAGCAGGGCGTTAATATTTGCCACGGCACGCACCGATTCCGACCCGGGGATTAAAAGCCAGGGTCCAGTCAGCGAAATACAGCAGCTGGTTAAAAAAAAAAAAGGAAAAAAAGGGATGTTCAAATGCTTCCGAGGACACACCAGCCAACTGCTAGCAAAGCATTTCCGTCCACTCTGAGACCTGGCCAGGCCTGCTCTGCACAAGGCGGGAGGGCCCGTTCACAAGGCACACAGGCTGTGCGGTGCGCAGAGCTCCCGAAACACACTCAGGGGTGACGGCCCTCCTACCACAGGCGCACGCTCCACTGGGGAGCAGGGGTGCAGTTCTACGATGTGTTTAAGTGAAAAAAAGGAAGAAACACATGGGAATGCAGAGAGCAATGACTGTATTTAAAATAGGTTAAAAAAAAGGCAAGAAGGGAATATAACAAGTGTCAAGTGGTGCTTGTTAAATGGGTGAAATGAGGCACCACCATGTTTGTCTGTCTTTCTTGTGCCCATTCATTCATTCACAAATACATACCAAGCTCAACCACCTGGACACAAAAACGAAACCCTTTGGGAAGACAGCCAGGACCCCTGCCCTCATGGGACAGCGAGGGAGGGGCCGGGTAGCTAGATTATAAGGGAGGAAGACATTAGGGGAACTACCAGGTAGGCACCTTATCAAGTTTTAGAATGCTTATAGGTTACCTAATACAGAATACAGAATAGGCGCAGTCCAGGTGGCATCTGAGAAAGGAGATAAGAAAGCTTTTCTTTTTTTTTTTTCTTTTTTTTCTTTTTTCTTTTTTTAGAGAGAGAGGGGAAGGGAGGGAGAAAGAGAGGGAGAGAAACATCAGCGTGTGGTTGCCTCTCATGCATCCCCGGCTGGAGACCCGACCCGCAACCCAGGCCTGTGCCCTGACTGGGAATCGAACTAGTGACCCTTCGGTTTGCAGGCCAGCGCTCAGTCCACTGAGCCCCACCAGCCAGGGCAGGAAGCTGTTTTACACATCTTTGCGTCCTCATAATTCAATGTAATACCTGACATACAGTAGGTGCTGAGGCATTTTATTTGAAAGGTTAGAGGTACGAATGAATGAACTAATGAAGCGCCCATCACCCTCATCTTTTCAGTCCCAACAGTGTTTTACATTCACTGGCCCTTGGTCTTAATCTCCAAACCCGCCTGTCTTTTGTGGGGAGGGTACGCCGCACCCGCTCACAGCTGTCTTCCTCCTTCCCAGCTGGCTGTTTGAAGGGCTGGGCAGAGACAAGGCCGAGGAGCTGCTGCAGCTGCCGGACACGAAGATGGGCTCCTTCATGGTCAGAGAGAGTGAGACGAAGAAAGGTGAGCCCCTTGGACGCGGCCGCCCACGCTCGGGCTGGGCTCCCGGCCGGGCCCCCGGCCGGCTCATCCCTCACACGGCTCACCTTCCCTCCTCCCGTGAGGCGCGCAGATCGGCCCGATGTGGTGAGCTCCCGGCAGACCGCACGCTGCCAGCGCAGCCGGCCTCAAAGCTGGGGGACTCGACGCAGGTATTGGGGACCCGGACCCGTATCAGGCCCTGCCGACTTCTGCTGGAAAATCTCCCATCAGCTGAGAAGAAAAGCCAACGCCAGGCGTAGGCAGCCCTGGGCAGAGAGGCTGTGGGCTCTGGACTCGGCCTGACCCCTGCTCCCATGCTCTGAGGCTGGGGCGGGTCACTTACTTCTCTGAGCTCAGAAACGGGAAGAAAACCCCTCCCTTGTAAAGTTGTGGAGCAACTCAAATGTAACATACTTGTGCTGGCCTGGCTACACAGGAGACCCCAGGACTAGCCCCCTCGGTGCCCAGCAATGAAATCAGATATCTTCGAGAATAGGAACAAGCAGATACAGACTCCTACGTACTCACCCTGATCTCTATCATTATGATTTCCTTATATCCTACGTATTCAGTGATTCAGTAAAAATGACATGGCAGGGCTTTCCTGTGTCAGGGCAGAGCAAGGGTCCCTAGTTCTAGTTTCAGCTGCATGAATTACTAGGAAGTCACCCCCTCTGTCTAAGCCTAGGTTCCCTTATCCGACACGTGGGATTAACAAGAGGGAAGTGCTTGTCACAGTGTCAGAGATACAGTATACATGCACTTAAGCAGGCGCAAGACACTTAGCAGTCTGGGCTTTCCAAGACTAAGAATAACAATAGCTATTTAAATACAAAAGATATTTTCAAGTTCTTAGGCTGTGTCTTGCACACTTACTGTCAAAGAAGAGAAAGTACAGTGTCTGAGAGTATTTTGTGAGCACCTATTAAGTGCCAGAGCTGCTTCGTGTGGAGTCCCTTCACCAAAACGAGCAGCAACCTTGCTTGGGGGAAGCAGGGACCATAGATACGTAATAAAATCCAATGCCGACCTTCCCCTCAAAAACCCCAATGTGCTGGAGGAGAGCAAGATCAAAGCGAAGGCAAGCTTCCTGTGCATATCCCAGTGTCCCCGAGCAGGGGACCCAGACCCAGAGCCTCTAAGCTGACATGGCCGAGGCAGGGAGAGCCCAGCCTGAGTTGCCCAAGCTGATCTAAAAATAAAGCTGTCGACAGGCAGAGCAGCAGCTGGGCCGGGGCCGGGGCTGGGGCTGGGGCTGGGGCTGGGGCCGGGTGGGGCGGCAGGCCCCGCTCCCTTGGGTATGCAAAGTTCTTTTAAGTTTCCACCTGCCATCTCTGGCCTCCTCCTCATACTTCAAGTCCCCGTTGACATTACCGGAAGACACATGTTGGTTGACTGAGAAGGAAGGCCTGGGCCACGCTAGAGACGCCCCTCAGATGCTAGTCTAGAGGCCTGTTCAGGACAAAGGTCCAGCCCTAGGTCTGCTGTGTCCAAGCGGCGTACCTCTGAGCCTCAGCTTCTTTGTCTATGAAGTAGGTGGGGACAATACCTCCCAGGTCTTTCTGAGAATTCAAGGACTTGTCGCTTGGAGACAGCAGAGCCCAGCCCAGCACGAGCAGCAAAGACTCGGGAAAACTCTAGGGAAAACTCTAGTGCCCTCCCCTCTCTCTGCTGCATGACCCTTTCATCCCAGACCCCTCAGAACACAGCGCAGGAAGTGCTCAGACACGCCCCAGGGTGACCCTCCTACAGTCCACGGGGGCCAGCCAAGGCTGGGAGAGGTGCGGGTGCCCACCCAAGGTTCTGCTCTTACTGACCCATATTGGGGCAGGACCCTAATGGTGCTTAAGGAGAAAGAAGGCATTTTCTATGTGTCTGAGGGAGACCCAGAAAAATGTCTCAATTGCCACTTTTTCCAAATTTCTGAGAACACCAAGCCTAAGTCGGAGGGAGTTGGGACAAGGAAACACGGGCATCGCCACGAGGCCTTCTCAAAGGTGTGGCGGTATTGGGGGGACAGGGACGAAACGGCAGCACAGGCAACTTAGAGAGTGCGCTCGGGAAGAGATGGGCCCAGGGATGACCCCAGACAGACCCTGCCCTGCGGGGGCCGCCCGACTCTTGTCACTCAATTTAGCCGAAGAACCCAGAGGAGGATGGGGAAGCGGCTCACGCAGCAACTTCGCAAAGCAAAGACAAGGCCCGTGCGCCTGAAACCGGGGCTGCCACGCGGTTAACGCAACGTGGCTGGGGGAGTGCCACGTGGTCTCTAATGCAAGCGCCGCAGCTGCGGGATGGGTTCTCCGGGCTGCTGCCCCACACACGGAGGGCGCGCCTGCGCACCACCGTCGTGTCCCGCGGCCCTCGGTGGTGGCGGGCTCCTTAAATGGTCACCCTCAGGCCGGGATACGTGGAAGCCACTGACTCGTCCTCTGTGCCCTTCAGGTTTCTACTCTCTGTCGGTGAGACACCGGCAGGTGAAGCATTACCGTATCTTCCGCCTGCCGAACAACTGGTACTACATTTCGCCGAGGCTCACCTTCCAGTGCCTGGAGGACCTGGTGAATCACTATTCCGGTAAGGAAAGCTCCAACAGGACCGGCCCGTGGGGCCTCTTTGCTAACTGTCCTGGGGCTCCCTCTGTCTAGGATGCTCCTCCTGGGTTGTGAGCACAGGCCAGGGGATGTACTTCGCTCTCTGCCCCTGCTGCCTGCTCCATATGCTCTTCTCCTGTTCATTCAGACTGTGAATTTCAGGCTGAAGCAGGTTGCCTGCAAATGCCACCTAAGTAAGTGAAATGCAACTAATGTCAAGTTCGCCCTCTCTGCCTGTGAACGAAAGCGGTCAGATTGCCCCTGTGTTCACAGCCACAGATGGTTTGCACTTCCTGAAGTGGACCATGCATTTGCAGGCCCCTGGGACTTTGTTCTGAGAGGCAACTCATTTCCCCTTTTCTGCAAATCAAAATCCTCCCCGGCCTCAAGCGGTAGAAGCCTCTGCTCCAACGATGCCAGGATTCTCAGGGCTCCGCTCACTGCCCTGAGGCCTCCATAACTGTGTTCTGGCCTGTGTTGGCAAGTGAGCTCTGAAAGACCGAGGATTGTGCTTCACTCATTCGTATGCCCTTCCTGGACCCAGGAGAGAGGTCAGAATGTTCCACGCTGGCCAGGACGGGGGCCATCTGCCAAGATGGCCGAAACGGAGTGTGGTTTTTGACAGAGGTGATGGGAGAGTGTGGAGTTAGAAGAGGAAATCTGAGTCAGACTCGAAGGTCTGAACGCCAGGTCAGGGGCTGGAATTTCACCTTATGGAAAAGGGAGAAATAGTGAAAAGTTGGCTACGTTTCTAAACGTTGGGTCTGGAACGTCTATGTTCACATCCCAGGCCTCTGGGACACCTTGGGCTAGTTGCTCCACTCTGTGCCCCCTTTTCCTCTCTGTATGATGAAGATGCTGACTGTTCCTGCCTCAGGGAGGCTGTGAGGGCCACGGAGCCAGTGCGCTCCAGGTGCTGGGGCTCCTGCTGTCCCTCAGCCAGGGCAGCCCCTCCCGCCCTCCCCTGGGTACTGGAGAGAGAAAGAGAAGAAGCCGCTTTCACTTTGTTAGTGTCTTCCGCCTTACAGGGTCAGAAGGTCTGACCTCGCACCCCCAGGGTCTTTAGGGTGCAGCCTGTGAGAACTGCAGGTGATGAAGGAGGTAGGGCAGCACGGGGGGCACAGGCCCAAGCTCGGACGTGGGCTCTATGGAGCCTTGGACAACACCCCCCACTCCCCCTGGACTCGGTTCCCCACCCACAGGAGGTAGATGCAAACAGCCGCCGGTCGTAATGATCGCTGAGCAGGATCGGTCCTGTACTGCGGGCGTCATAGCCTCCTGTGCCACAGATGCAAAATAAATGATAACATGTGTTATCTCTGCAATACCCGAAAACCTAGCTGCCTAGCTAAAAATGAAAGAGGAAGGGAGTCCTGGAAACCGTCAACTTTTACCGATTATGAGTAAAAATTGGTTGTGGTATTTGGCTTTTAATAACAATCATATGAGAGGTGTGCAGACCATAAGTTTTGCATAGACAAAAGCAAACATGAAAAGGATGCTGCCCCAGCAAAGGCCTCACACATGGGGTGGGGTCCACGCGGCCCCCAGGCTAGGATCGCCGATGCACGGGACAGGGCAGGGCCTTCCCACACTACCTGCCGCCCCTGCACCAGCTAGCAGACAGCAGCCACCCATTCACCCCTGCAAGCAACGGAGAACGAACCCAAACCCTGAAATGCTTCTTGCGCCCCTCAGGACCCCAGCGTGGAAACAGCAGGGCGAATTCCCCTCCCACCAGACCCTTCCTCCAGGCCCAGATTCAGAGCAGTTGTGCACAAATGGGGCTGAGCCAGCACCTTTGCTTTATGGGCTGCTTATACTGATTACACTGGGGCCCTTGGGCAAATGACCTAACACCTCGAAGCCTCAGTTTCCTCATCTATAAAATGGGGGTTAAAATGCCTCTTATGGGATTGCTGTCAGGACCCCCCAACAATCACGCGTGTGACACGTCTGGCATCTGAACAGCACCGTGCATGGCGGCGATGGACGCAGCAGGGAGGGCGGGGGGCAGAGGAGGTCCCAATGGGGCCAGAAAAACACAGGCAAGAGACAGAGGGGCCTTGGAATGGAGAGCTGGAACCAAACAGCGTGAGAGGGATGAGTGTTCTAGAGAGTTCCCCAGGCTGGGGAGAATGAGACGAGCGCGTCCAGACACCAGGGGCAGCAGAGGATCTTTCTTCTCCATCTCAGGGGCGATGAGTTGCTTTTAGAACAACTTCCTGGTTCTGAGTCCATGGGGCAGTTGTGACCACACTTCTATGACCTGGAGCAAGTGACTTGACCCCAGGATCCCCAGTCTCCTCATTCCCCAAACTGGGTCTCACCATCCTGACCGCTCAGTGACGTGGGCCTTGCCGAGATGGCGCGTGACAGGCTAGCTCAGCCCTGGGCTCCTGTCATGTGCTCACGAGCGCTAGTTCCTTTTCTCTTTGCCAAACTTTCCTTTTTACCCAAATGATTAACCTCTCTAAGACAGGACTGTCACAAAGTCCCCTCCTGGGCTGTCTAATGCCACTGACTTATTCAGTCTCTGTGTCTGATGTGAAAGTCTCCTAACCTGAGAGGCCGTTTCAATTCCCAATCCATGACAGGTAATTATTTCAGATTCACATCCAATTAAGCTCCGTCTGACCTTGGGGTCCAGCTGCACATTTCTTGATGGGGGGCAGTGCGGGTGGACATGCAGGTTCATGGCGAAAGGCAGGCCGAACGCAGGAACAAGGCGTGACTGCCTGCCAGCCTCTGATAGCCTGGGCTTGCGTCCTCGGCTACAATTTCCCCTCGTTCTTTGGCAAGGTCACCCCCGGGGCTCCATGAATAAGATGGGAGGTGGAGACACCCACTGGCCTAACGTGCTTCCTGAAACCTGGCACTGGGCTTGCTCGAGCCAGGGCGCCCCGTCCTGCTGGAGGCCGGCGGCACCCGGCACCCTCGGCCGGCCACTCCACCGCCCACGACAGGAGAGCGGTGGGGTCGTGGCCGGAGGACGCCCACTCAGACTTGGCCCCATTGAGCGGAAGGCCTGAGCTCAGCCGGAACCCACCTTCCTCTCCGTGATGGGGGCTAGGAGAAGGCGCCCGGGCGGGGGCTACACCCTAGTGCTCCTGGAGAGAGGGGGGCCCTGGAAGCTCAGGCATGTTACACCAGCTGAGCGAAGGAGGAACTGGACTTAGTTTTCATTCTCCTTGTGCATGGGCATCTAGGGTAAAGAAGAGAGGGTTTTGTTCACTTTGTATTTCGTCCCCTTTCTCTCTTTCACCTTGAATCTTTGTTTTTTCTCCTTTTCTTTTTCTGTGCCTGTTATCTTTTTGATGTCTTTCCATCCTGCTCTCCTCTCTTTCTCTCTTGCTTTCTTCTTCCCTCCCTCCTCCTCTTCCTCCTCTCTCTTCCTTCTCTGTCTTCTTTCGTTGTTTCTTGCATGTTCCTTTCTCCCTGCACCTGTATCTAGCCCACCAGACTGTAGTCATTGCTGCTCTGTGTGCTTTGGGAAAATCAGTGTTGTACATGGCGCGCCGGCCTCACTCCCCACCCCTGGCCCCACCCTGCACCCAAGAGCTTCACCGACGCTGACGGAGCTCTGCTGGATGGTCCCTCAGCCCCACGCCCCATGTCGGCTACAGAATCTCAGTGCCACTGACTGGCGGTCTGTTTCCCTCTTCAGAGGTGGCTGACGGCCTCTGCTGTGTGCTGACCACGCCCTGCCTCACTCAGAGCACAGCTGCTCCCGAAGTGAAGGCCACCAACTCCCCTGTCACCTTGCGCCAGAAGACCCTGGACTGGAAGAAGATGTCCAGGTGGGGTGTGTGTGTGTGTGTGTGTGCATGTGTGTGTGTCCTCCATGAAAACGTGAGCCTGGCACATGGAAACTGGCCAGTTAGAGCCGGCCCTACTCAAACGTGATGGTGGACATGCTGAGTGGGTACTGGCCCATGGAGTCCCGCTGTCCCCTGGGAGGCAGACCAGCCTCAGGCCTCGCGCAGCGGGTGGCATGGCCCTGGCCACTTCCTGCCAGGGCCCCCAGTCCCCAGTTCTGCAAAAGTTTCCCGAGTCCCCTTTCAATGTTAACCGGATGCATTTTTTAGTTGAACGATACCATCTTTGTTTTTCTAATTGTTAGGATCCCAGAAAGTAATACACAAATAAATCTTGTATAAACTTAATATTATTTTAAACTCAGAAAGTTGAAACACACCAGCAAAATCCTAAGGTGGCAGCATTTTTTTAAAAGGGAAAACCATCTTCCACTGATTTCTTTTATTTGAGTGTCAGCAATTACATTTTAGGGGTCTGTGTAGTTGGGAATGGGTGGGTTATCTTATTAATTAAGTGGTGATCTAAACATCCCATTGGCAAATTCAAAGAAAACCAGAGGCCAGAACTGCCTGAGAAATAAATAAAACTGTCCCTCCTTGTCAATATCATAAACATATTAAGTGATTTATCTAAGATCACACAGTCGCGCATGCAGGAAGCAGGATTAGAACAGTAAGTTAGACACATACTGACCAGGCTCTTTTCTTCTTCCTCTTCTCACTCCCCTGTCCTCCATCCCTCTACGTCCCTCTCTTTTTGCCCTTCCTCTGCCCCCCCCCACCCCCGTCTCGCCACTCACAGGCTGAAGGACAATCCTGAGGGGGCAGGGAACCCGCTTGGCGTGGATGAGTCCCTTTTCAGCTACGGCCTTCGGGAAAGCATCGCCTCCTACCTGTCCCTGACCAGTGAGGACAGTGCCCCCTTGGACCGAAAGAAGAAGAGCATCTCCCTGATGTACAGCGGAAGCAAGAGGAAGAGCTCCTTCTTCTCGTCGCCGCCCTACTTTGAGGACTAGCCTGGAGCAGGCCCCGGGCGGTGTGCCCAGCAGGAACAGAGGTTCGAACTCTTGCCTGGGCTCCGACACAGAGGCACACTTCCCTGGCCGTTGGGGGCCTCGCGTCTCCCAGGAGCCAAGAGAAGCTACATGAAACTCACACTCCCACCTCTATCCACATGATGACCGGGGAACTGCCCCGGGTGTCTGACCCGTCCCAGGACGTCGCAGAATGCCGACTTGTGATGGGATCAGGCAGTGTTTCAGAAGAGCCCTGCTTGTGTGCTGTATACAAGTGCCCGTCGTGTTTGGGGGGAAAGAAAGACACTCTTTCACAAGAAAGTACACAAGGACTATCCTCCAACCAGCTATCCAGATGGCCACAGCCTCAGCTCACAGAGAACCCTTCTGAAAGAGAAACACCTGGGAAGAAGATGCGCCACACACTGTGGCCAAACATCTGGGTTTGCAAACTGGTCTTGCACCTGGAACTTTCTTAGCCAACCCACAGAGAGACCTTCGGGACACATCTTCTCTGTCTTTAAGGGGACTCAGTGACACTAAACATTACCCTTCCTACTTAGCCCTGAATCAGGAGATCTCTGCCCTGCTGGTCCCAAAGCCACCTGTGCGGGAGTCAGATGGCCTCCCTACTTCCGCCGGGGGCAAGGCAAACGGGAGAGCGCGAGGCCGCTGGCAGGGGGTGCGAGGCAGGGCCTGGAACTGTGCAAGGCTGCCCCACGTCCCAGCCACGGCTCCACGGCCCAGAGAGAGCTCTGGGGCATGAGGAGGTTCACACAGAGATTAGTGTGCCATTGTTCCTTCATGATTGCCTGAAGAGACACTGTGTTATGTCCTATGTACGGCGTCAGGCCAAAAAAAGAAAAAAAAAAAAAAAGAAAAGAAAAGAAAAGAGAGAGAGAGAGAGAGAAAAATAGATGACTGAGCCCCAGGCCCCAGCAGAGGTAGCCCCAGTGTGGACAGGGAGGAAGATGTACAAACAAATATGGTGCGTGTGGGGTGTGGACACAGAAATCAGCTCCTGGCTTCGAGTGGGACAGGGGTCGGATCAGGGTGAGCTAGAAGCTCACGTTTCAGCTGGTCCTTCAGGGAGCAGACGTCTCAGCTGGACTGAGGTTGGAATGGTTGGCATTCAAAAAAAAAAAAAAAAATGAAGGCGGCAATTGATCAGTTCTAAAGAATTCAATTCACCCAGTATTTTATTCTCAGACGGGTCTGGCACCCACATGAATAAAAGGACTGAGCTCCAGGAAAGATGGGCGTTGGAGTGGCTTCATTGTGTCTTACATCGTTAAAGAGATGAGGGAGAGATGTAGTAAATTTAGCCCTGGAGGAGCAGCCCGTATCTCCAGGCTGCCCCCAGGATCCTGTTAGGAAGGGGGCTGCCGAAGAAGCTGTGACTCACTTTCCCCTTTGCTAAGGGCTTCCGGGGAAGGGTGGGTGCCCATGATGCGGTGCCTCTTGCTACCCGATATGAGAAGTCTGTCTGTCTACCACACGCATTCCGTACATCTGAAATCACCGCGCTTGTGGTATGTGGGTATGAGTTTACATGAGTTTCTGTATCATCAGATTCCAGAGTGTTTATACGAGAAGACATTTGCGGTTTCCTCCACAATCCATGAAGGCTGCTTCAAAGGGACCAGCCAGCATACGGGAAATGAATGTAACACTGTGGACACTGATGTCCGACAGAAGGCAGCGTGACCTCTCACACTCCAGATGTTTGTACAGTGTCTTATGTGTTATTTTCCGTTGTGAGTCATGCGTTTGGAACGTGTGGGGAGGCCTTGGAGGGATTTCTAAGTGGGAAGCATTAAGTTTTGCTAAATCATGTATTTATTCCTGATTAAAATAAACATACTACGTATTTAACCCCTGGAATGGAAGGAGAGCTTCCTGGGTGAGCTGGGTGGGTAGCTCACGCAGAAGCTGCAAAGCTCTCAAATTCTCAGAGAAACTTGAGAATAGAAAGAGAACAGAACATGAAACACCTGGGGAAACGTCACCAGTGAGTAGCTCGGCACCTTCTTGAGGCGTAGCCTTGAGCAAACCAGATGTTAGGGCTCGGACGGTGTCTTACACGCCAGAAGGCAGACAGAAGAACTGAGTGATGGTTGTGAAAATCCCATCGCACGCGGACCCCTCCCGCATCCCTTGTGATGCCTCCGCAGTTTGTCCCCCCCAGAACTTCTTCCCGCGGGCATTCTGGACACCTAGTAAGTTCCAGACGCTGTTCTAGGTGCTGCGGCTGTTGCAGTGACAAGTAGACGAGGTCTCTGCTGTCGTGGGGTGTGATATCTTAAATAAACCAGGAAACTTCGCTGTGCAAGTCACACAGGGGGCTGGATGGCAGAGTGGCCGGCAGGGGCGCCGTCTAATCCGACTCTTAAGAAAAGCCGCCCGGGGGAGAAGTTTGAGCTGAGGGCCCAAAGATGGGGAGCCAAGGGCCAAGCAAACAAAGACCAAGAGAGAATACCGGAGGCAGTGGTGTTGGCGAGGTGCCCCCTGAAGGCGGGGTGCCGGGGCCGAGTGAGGGGCGAGGGGCTCTCTGGAGGCAGGCGGACGGGTCCCTCAGGGCCTGGATGGGACGGGAAGGGGCGGAGGGTCTATTCTAGGAGAAACGGGAAACCCCCGGAAGGTTCAAAGTAGGGGAGTGATATCATCTCGGTTATAGGTTTCAAAGAGCACACCGGCTGCTGTGTAGAGGGTGGATTTTCAGAATTCCCACGTTCTATCCTCTACCTGACACATGGTTAAAATGAAAGGATGAGGAGTTTAAAAATAAAGGGGTGGCAATGTGTTCATGCAAAAATGAACAAAAGGGAAACCTGTTGAATGTTGAGGCAAAATGAAATGTAGGTGAAAATGCACTTTTGCCCAAGGGTGAAGAGAGATGGACCGTAGGAACAATGCATGAAGGAGATATAATGATTGAACCTAGATTAATCTAACATAAGTTTCAAAATATCTTAAGCAACTATTACAGGGGCAAATAGACACGTCAATCGTTTTATTTGGAGGTTTTAACACAGCTTTCAGAAACTGATGGATTAAGCCAAGGTAAGGAAGTAGAAGGTTTCAGTAAAACTATGCAACTTTCCTGCCAACAAAGAATACATTAGGCCACAGGGTAAATCCTGATAAATTTCCAGAGTCAGCATCCTCCAATTCATGCCCTATGATAATAAGGCAATAAAACTGGAAACCAATTTGCAAAAAGATGGGTAAGAAATTTATGGGTCTAAAAGCTAAAAAGAAAAAAAAAAAGAACAAAAAGTAAACGTATCCTTAGGAAAACACAGGATCTGGCTTTAGGTTTTAATCCCTAATACAGCTCCTTCCTTGCTATGTGTTCTTCAGTAGGTCACTAAACCTCTCTGAGCCTTGGATTTCTTAGCTCTCAGTGGCTACTGAAAAAACACCCCTTGTGAATCAAACTGAGGAGTCTCTGAGGTAATACACTGAAAGTTCCATATGGCCCCCAACACACTAAACAAATAAATACAAGTTATTAATTACCGCAGGAATCTGTCTCGCCTGCCAGCTCAACAGCTCTGGCCCCAGGGTTTGGAGAAAGACAGAATTTTATCAAGAGCATATCACCAACTTGCATTCATTCCCCAAGCATCTGCTGGTAAAGAACACGTTGAAGAGCTGCTAATATGTTGAAACACTTTAGTTCTCCAGATTCCACATAATTTCACATGCCTCGCAAAGACTGCTGGGAGCAGTTGTAAAAGCTGCTCCTAAATGACTGGAACAGATGGTGAGTTTATTTTTAAATACACTACCATTTGTTAAAACAGATTCGTGTTTGAAATTCCCCAAACTCCTAAACACTCCAGAATTTTCAAAAAGAAAATTCTGCCTTCTGAGCCTACTCGCAGAGAATTTCTGTGTCTCCTGGGTCCCACTGCGTGTCTGGTTTCTGAGGGGGCTCTGGGGAAACATCTTCAGGATCAACTCAGAGCCAGGGAGGTCCGCTTTCAGGCTCAGGGACTGAGAGCTAGTGGAGCTCAGACCTCCTGCCACAAGGACAGAATGCCCTGCAGAGGGATGGGTTAAAGAAAACCCAAATCAAAGGAGAAAAAACGCAAGAGAGGGGAAGGAGGGGAATGAACGAGCCTGTGGGTCCCCGTTCATCTGCTCATCCCTCCCCCGCCCAGATGTTAATTATGCAACATTTGTGGTGAGACAGCTGTGCTGGGTGCTCGGGGCCCCATGGAGGGCAAGGCACACGGGGCCCCTGTTCTCCTGGAGCTTCCGGTCTTGGCGGAGGGAGCCAGGCTGGCAGCAGGAACACGTGTGTGCGGTGGGAAATCAGGATAAACGTGGTGCAGAGAAGTGCAGGCAGCACAGGCCAAGAGAGGGGTGTGATCCTAAAGCTGAGAAGCCTGGAAAGGCTCCCTGAAGGACCAACAGGGCAGACAACGTGGGAGGTGGCAGACGGCGCCCACGCAGAGGGAACTGCCTGGCGAGGCAGGAGGGACCATGGGCTCTTTATGGAACACGAGGGAGAGAGATGAAGTGGCAGGCGGTAGACGCAGCTCCCTGTCGGGAATGGTGGCAAGGCTGACCTAGCATCTGGTGTGTCCCAACAATGCCACCTCTACCCGCCTTAGGAGCAACTGCTTGGGCACCAGGAGGGCTGGGCAAAGTGGCAGTGGTTTGCTAGCAGGTCTGTGGCATTGGTCTCAACGGTCTCTCTCCGTCCTCGAGCGGTGTCACTCATTGCTCTCTCCGCCCCCAGCACGGTCCCCCTTCACTCGCCTTCCACCCTGCTCTAAGACGAGTCACCCCAAAGGGAAGCACATTTCCCATGGCTTACAAATATTCACAGCAGCACGATCCACAGCAGCCAAAAGGAGGGTACAACCCCAATGTCCATTGACAGAGGTATCGATAAACAAAATGGGGTTTACACATAAAATGGGACATTATTCGTCCTGAAAAAGGACTGAGATTCTGATATAAACTGCACCGTGGGTCACGGATGAACCCTGTAGACGCACAAGTGAAATGAGCCGCACACCACAGGGCACAGCTTGTCCGGTTCCACTGACGTGAGGCACCAAGACAGGCAACTGCACAGAGAGGACGTAGAACGCGGTCGCTGGCGACTGAGAGGGGGTAGAAAGTGAGTAACGGTTTAGCAGGCACCGAGTTTCTGTTTGGGATGATAAAAAAGATCTGGAAATGATGAATGGCGATGACCGCACAACCTGGTAAATGGACTTAATGCCGCTGAACTGTACCCTTAAAAGGGCTTGAAACGGTAACCGAACCAAACGCAAGTGAACAAGCAAAACCTTTGACGACAACAGCTCCCATGTGCTCGAGATGAACCCCGAGGAGTTCAGTGCAGTCTGGCTGTTCCCTGTGAGCCCCCGCCACCCCCCACCTCTGCCCAGGAAGACCCATCCTCCGTGGCATCTCGGGAGTCTGCAGAGCTCAGTGAAGAGTCACGCGTTCCCCAGGCACCTGCCCTGTGCCCACACGGCCCTACACTGTCCCCAGCCTCTCACCCAGACCACGCCGCCTCTGAGACGCATTTCCTAACATCCCCCCGCCTCCCCGTGCCCTGTGCTCGATCAGGGCTTCCCTTGGGGCCACGCTGAGGCCCTTTCTTTACGACCGGCTTCAAGTGCTTGCCTCTCACCCCACAGCTGCCTGAGGACTAGGGCATGAACTGTTGAGCATGGCATTTCCAGCACCTAGCACAGCACCTGCCGAAAACCGGACACTCAGTAAAGTTACAAGCTGATCGATGACAGAATAGTTTTCAGGACTTATGCTGTGGTTATTTCTCCTATCACAATTACTGCCATCATCGTTGCTATATCATAATCATCGATATCATTATATCATTATCATCATCATCATCTTCATCGTCACCGCCTAGCGGGTGCTTCAGACCATCCAGCAGAATTATCAGTGTTGAGTCCTATTCTTGGCCTTCATTCAATAATCAGGAACTCAGCTGGCCAAACCTTTGGCACTCTGTGCCCACCCTGTGGCTGCTGACTCAGCTGCCTGCCGCTCTTGGAGCAGTCATCTGGACAAGTGCCAGGGTCCCCTACCTCCTTCTCACCCAAAGGCATGGAGTCACCCACGAGGTGGGAACGATTAGTGAGAGTAACAAATCACCCAATATTGTCGCATGGTGAACTGCCACCAGAACTGAATCTGGGAGGCGGGGGGAGGTGCAGCGCGGGCTGTTGAGGAAACCAGACAGCTTAGGGGAAGATTCGAAGTTCAGGCCCAGAGAAGACGAGGAAGGCAACACTGGGAAGCAGGCGCGAGCTCTCTCAGTTCGATTCCCCTCCTGCTCCGGGAGCGCCGTCGGGTGCAGCTGGCATAGCATTGGCCGCCCTCCACCCTGGGCATTAACTTCCTCCCGCATCCCCACCAGAAGCCTTCTCACCCAACATCCCGTCCCCCTGGGGCTGTCTATGGATGAGGGAGGTCGTGGGGAGTTCAGACCTTGGAACTCCAGCAAGGCTCCCCCAGGACACAGCGCTCCCTCATCTGGGATTATGAGATGGGGGCGGGCAGCCCACGGGGAGCCCCTCAGCCCCCGGGCTCACATCTATGTGGGGAGGCGGCCATGAGCAGGATACACACTCGGAGAGAAGGAGAAGGCAAACCAAGCAGCGGAAGCCAACCGGGCTCAACAAAGAAAGGACCCCCTCGCCTGGGGGCACCTCAACTCACCATCAGCACGGCTCTCTGGAAGAGTCTAGAACCGCCAGCCCTGGTGGTTAGAAGGTGGATGCCGGCCAAGTCAGCGCCACCACGGTCGGCTGCCACGGCCACGCGCCGAGGGTCCCCGCCAAACACGCCGATGTGGGTCTGCACCCAGGTCAGAGCCGCCACCTGGTCCAGCAGCCCCCAGTTGCCACGCATCTCACTGGACCCTTCAGAAAAAGGAAGGCCTTTTACTTTTGGGGGCTTGGCAACTGGAACTGAATTATCCTGGTGCCACCCCTATGGAGCCTCGGCGGGACCTGGGCTTCTGTCCACCCAGGTCGGGCCTGTGGTTCCAAACACAGTGTGGCTACTGGGAAAGGCACGGGCTCGGAAGTCAGGGCCTCCAGGCATGGTGTTGGGAGACCCTGGACCTGCCCCTGCACGTCTCTGGACCACAGCTTCCCCGTCAGAGACGAGGCGGCGGCCAGGGCAGTGGCTCAGACCAGACGCAGCTCATGGTCAGGCCGGCCCCCGGCTTGGCCCCTTGGTGGAAGGAGGTGAGGTTCCCTCCCCGTGTCTTCCCCCGCTGCTGGTGGCCCTCCGTGCCCTGCCCGCCAGCGACGGCCGGGCCCAGCCGAGGCTCTGGACCCCCTTCCTTCCCACTGCCTCATCTCCCGTGACCTTCAATAGCATTCAGCTGAGTTGACCTCTCCTTCCTTTTTCCACAGACTCCAGTAACTATACATTGAAAGCTTAGTACAATATTTTTCTAATGAATGAATCAGACACGCACACACAAATGCACAGCAAAAACACGCTCTTCTCCTCGGCGTTTTGGGACACTGCATGCCCGTGTCGTTCTGACCCTCCTCTGAATTCGAAGGATCCTCCTTGTCAAGCTACACCACCAGCTACCCCAGCACACAGGCCTGCTCGGGTCTGAGCGGAGGCCCACACCTGCGCTGCTCCAGAAGCCCCAGCAGATCCTCTGCCTTCGATGACCACCTCGATGTGGGTGACCCTCGGGAGCGTGTCAGCGCCCAGAGCACCTCCCAGCTCCACACCCCCCACCCCCGCCTCTCCTGGATCCTCCCCCACAGGCACCGCAAGTCCATTCAGTCCTACGCAGGTGCGATTCGAAGCCTCCTGAGCACCCCAGCGGGCAGCATTGCCAGTGTCTTGTCTCTTCCTTCCCGTGCCACACCCCCGCCCGTCCTGCCCCTGCACAGCCCTGCAAGTGTCCCCTGACACTGCGTCCGCTGCACCCCCACGCCCTCCCGGGTGCCCCAGCTCTCCTTCGGCGTGGACCTCGGCTGCCGCCTCCCCCCAGAGCTTCTCACCGGCCCCCTGGGGCAGAACATTCCCCTCCAATGAGCTTTCCACACCACTTCCAGAGTGAGATTTTTTTAAAATAAATAAATAAATAAATTTTTTACTGAATTTATTGGGGTGCCATTGGTTAATAAAATCATATTAAGTTTCAGGTATACAATTCTGTAATACATCATCTGTACACTGTATTGTTTGATCACCACTCCAGGTCGAGTCTCCTTCTAGCACTATTTATCCTGGTCTTTTAAACTTATATTTTGATTTTCCCTCTCCCTCCCGCGTGTGCGCGCGTGGTCTCTCTCTTTCTCATACACACACACACACACACATACACACACACACACACACACTGTGCCCTACCCTACCTAAAATCTCCCATCTCGTCCCACTGTCCCCGGGACACGGTCTCAGCTTTTGCAGCGTATCCAAGGCCCCACGGACAGGGTCATATATCCAAGCTCCATCTGTGCCCCAGGCTCACAGGCTTCCCACCAGTTGCTCAAAGACGCTGTGCCACCCTCTCCCGGGCCTGGGCTGGGCACACGGGGTTGCCTCAGCCCAGACCCCTCACCCTGTCTTCCCTCCTTCCCTCCTCTGGCCCAGCCCTCCCTCTCAGCTGTGGCCTTGACTCACAGGCAGCCCTCAGGTGAAGTGAGGTTCCCCTGTCAGGGTCCTGTCCCCAAGGCTTTCATGCTAGACAGAGCCCCCGCTAAAACCAGCGGCACATAACAGGTGCTCAGTAAATGCTAGGTGGGCGGAGGACCATCGTTAGGATGAACAGAACTCGGTATCAAGTGAGAAACTTGACCCCTGTATTCCCGAAGAGAAAAATCTTGCGTCCCCGTCCACCAGCCGGTGTCTCAGAGCTGACAGGGACACCGGCTCAGAGGACAGAGCAGCGCAAATTCGTCTGCCCCCTGGGGACACTTCTCCCAGTACGTTGCCTGTGCCAGGGTTGGAGTGTCACTGGCCCTGTCCTTGCCAGGCACTTCTGCCTCTGTCAGGAGGACTGTCTCCAAGGCCTTAGGCAGGGCCGGAAGGTGGGACACCCACTGAGTCGGACCTAGCCCCGCAAGTCTGGGAGGTGACATCCGTGGCCTGCATTTCCAGTGACAATGGGGGTTTGGGGAGGACAGCCCTGACTCTCGCTTCCCTTCCACCAGTGTCCCAGTCACGTGATAAGGGCCAGTGCTGACGTTCTGGGGTCTACGGACCCTTAGGAGGTCAGCAGTGAGGAGCGTTCAGGAGGCTGCTCATCAGACGCGGCTGGATTGGACCCGACCCCATGCCAGGCACCGCGCTAGGTGCTGCAGAGCACGAGACAGACAGGGCCATGGCCCTCAGCTCACACAGCCTCAAGGGTGGGCATGGGAGGCAGCTAACTAGCTGGTCTGAGACCCATTAGCCCAGCTCTTTACTTTGCTGGTGAGGAACAGAGCCTTGAGAAGGAGATTGTTTCAGTGCAAATTTGAGATAAAGTTCAGGCTTAAACTCCAAGGCACACTCAGAGCTTTCCATCCCAACATTCAGTCCAATTCAACGAACGTTTGCTAAAAAGCTAGAGTGTGAGAGGCCCTGTGTTATTTTCATTAAAAAAATCAAAGCATTCTATTTATGGAACTGTCTCTGCTCCAGAGCCGTCACGCCTCCCTCCTTCCTGCTGCGGCAAGTCCAGACCTCCTCCTGGCCTTTCAGACCCTCTTGGATCGGTGCCGGCCGTGCGAGCGGCCTGGGTTCCCCAGGCTCACGCGCCGCGTCCCGTTCACTCCCCCTGCAGCCTGGCTGAGGCTGGGCCCCGGGCCTCCTCACCCTCGGGGCCCCACTCCCATCCCCGCAGCTTGGTCCTGCCACGAACACGAGCTGTCCCGTGAGGGTGGGGACGTGAAGCTGGAGAGGGCTGCTCTGCTCTCCTCTGACCGGGCGCAGACAGTTTGGTGGGGAGATGGGTGTGAGTAGGAGACCCCCAGACAAGGTGACAAACCCCCTCTCCATCTGCCCCAGCTGACCCTGATCTACGCCCCCCCACCCCGACCTCCAGCCTCCTGCCCCTCTGGGCAGACCCACCCCGGCAAACATTCCATTGCTCCCTCCTTGTCCTACTGGCTCTTGGCTGCAAATTCAATTTCTTCAAGGATCCCTCTAAAGTTCCTTAGCACAATTCTGGGCTCCTGGTGGGTTCCCACCCCGGTTCTATGGATGGCCGTCAATAAAAGGCAGCGTGGACTGTTGGCTCAGTGCACAGGCTATGGGCCAGATGGGCAGGGCACAGGCCCTGGTTCCACCACCTTGCAGCTCAGGGGTCCCTGGACCACTTACTTAATGGAACTTGATTATCTGTAAAGTGAGGATAATGATGGTACCTACCTCATTCGGTTGTTAGGATAATTAAATTAGTTAATATTGGTAAATGGAAGAGTAACAGTTCTACAGAGCTACAGAATAAGCTCTGTACAAGTTGTTTTTTCTTAAATAAAGTAAAACAGTCCCAGCATTATCTCAGAGATGCCCTTTGCAGGGCCAGCCTTGTCTCCAGTGGCCCTTAAGATGGGTTGTTCACTGGGACTGGCCCCTGTCCTGTTGTTCTGGCGACCGGGGGTGGCGGATCCTCTCAGGAGGCCTCCGAGTGCCCCTAGGGCGATGAGGTCATGGTAACGGACCGTGCCTGGCCGTCTGTCCGGCTCCCTTGCCAGCGCTCACTTCCTCCACTCCCAGACCCTGCGGAAAGCCCGCGGGCCCTGGTGCACCCACGCTCCGTCTGACCCTGCACACCACAGCCCCTAGCTTCCCTCGTGGCACCACTCTGCCAGGGAGAGAAGGGTAATCACTGCCCCTCTGCCCCTGGGGCCTGTCCCGCGTGCAGGATCCGGGCTGGGGAAACGGCCTCTCCAGGCGCAGCACTGACCCCTCACTTCCTGTCCGACTGCTCAGTTCAGCAGTAGCCATGACTCCCCGCTGGCTGTGGCTGCCTTGTCTCACGGAGAGCACAGTTTGCCTAGCGGGCCACAGAACTGGTGCTGGCGTGTGGTGGCCCCTGGCCCCCGTCCCTTATGCAATGTGCTCCCGGAGCCTGGAGGCTCTGGGCTGCACCACCGATACCACACACGTACCCAACGAGAGGATGCACATCACCACCGGTGGACTTCAGCCCCAGACCACAACGCTCCCCGCGGTCACTGCTGAGTTCCCACAGCCCGGCGGAACTGCCAGGAAGGCCGAGGAAAAGATGTGACATCCAGGGACGGTGGGGAATGCTAGGCAGTCTAGCAAATAATGCAAAGAAAAACTGCCGGAGGAGAGTGGAATGTGAAAGGCTGGCCCACTCTGCAAGCCAAAGGCTGTTTCTAGACACCTGCGCGAACAGGCCACAGTGCACTTCTTCTCGTTTGACCACCAGGCTTTATCGCCCAGTGCGCCCCTCCGAACTGCGGGGCGTGAAGCTCCCCGCCCTCTCTGAGCCTCACAGCCGCACCTGTGAAATGCCCCAGAGCACTGGCCTCGCAGAGCTACCGTGGGAACGACACAGGCTCACCAGGCCAAGGGCTCCGTAAGTGTAACTTTCCTTCTCTCTGGCGGATGGTTTTGACTTAAGCACAATGAACCAGGAGCATCACAAGTCAGGATGGAAAGGGTTGAGTGTTCTGCAAGTTTCCTTGGCCTCCCCTGCCAGTGCCCCACCAGCAGCAGAAATGAGTTTCCCTTCCCAGAAAAACACAAGTCTCAGTAAGATTACAGTCCATGAAATCATAATCCCCCACCCACTCAGGGATGGTCGACATATGGAAACTCTTTCTCTTCTGTCTGTAAGTGCTCTGCGCCAGAAAGCCGGCCATGCCTGTGGCAAGCTCCACGTGACCACAGTTCACCAGGAGAAGGTCTGGGTTTCACCTCTTCAGGGAAAGGAGCTACTGACTCCGAGTGCTGTTAGTCAGGTATTTGAAAGCAGGAATAAAGCCCAGGCAAAGTGTTCTCAGGGCGCGCGCGGCCGACTCTGCTCCCCTAAGGAACTGAAGTCTGTTCGTCATCTGCGTCTCCCACCTGGGCAGCTAGTGGCATCCTTTCTCAACTTGTTGCCAGTTTCACGTTTGTGGTGCAGGTCCAGAATCTGTTTCGTGGCACTCACGGCCTCACGCCAGGCGGCCATCGCCCTCATCCCACACACCCCCCAGGGTTCGCGCGGGACGTCCCTCCCCGCCCCCGCCACACATGCTAGTCCAGGCCGATGTCTGGTCAGACTCCCTTCCACCCACCCGACTGTGTTCAGCAGGCGAGACATTCCAGGTGTTCAGCGGGGGCCCGGGAGAACAGAGAGACAAGCTCAGCGCCTGTCCTGGAGGTTGCGGGGAGCCCTCTCTCATGCACCACCTCACTTGAGCCTCACAGCAGTTTTGGAAGCTGTAAAATGGTTTCTCATTTTACAGCGGAGAAAGCAGAGACACAGAGAAAGAAAGGGTTTTGTCCAAGGCCACTGAGACAATGGCTGGCTCTTCAAATTCCCAGACTAGCATGTCAGCCTTCTGCCTGATGCCTGACGTACTGCTGGTGGGGACTGGAGATGGGGAAGATATGGAAGGAAAACGGGGACTGGTCCAAGTCTCAGGTCTGCCCTGGGGATGGGGAGACGGGGAGCAACCAGGGCATACACCTGTCCTCAGGGGGACAGGCCAATGTTCACAGGGGAGGCGGGAATGGAAGGGAAAGCGCACTACTGACGCAGCCCTCACTCCCAGGCAGACGGCTTCCCTGTGGGCACAAGAGCCACTGTACGGCCCACCCTAGAGCTCTCCAGAGCGAGTCAACCCTGGTGATGACCCTGGATCTGCTCTTTCCTGACCATGTGACCTTGAGCGAAACCTCCTGGGGCCCCAGAGCGCACACACGCACGTGCGCACAAACACACGATAAAACGTGCAACATCCATGGGACAGCTTCAGGCATAAAGTTCAAACAACGGCAACAATCGCCTTGTCTGTGGGTGCCAGCACCCCCGAAGAGCCCCCTGAGCGTGCCTTCTCTTCCACCGAGTGCTCAGCTGGGCTGGAGGAGGGCCAGGGACCACGACAGGATGAGGCTTCGGGACGAAGGGGCTGAACATACACAGAGCAAGCCTCCGCTCAGGGATCAGCAGCCCCCACCGAGGCCCTCAACTCACCGGAACTCAGGAAGCCGAAGATGCCCACGCGGTAGCCAGCAGTGACCACGACGAGGTTGCCGATAGCAGCCAGGAAGGAGCCGTCGAGGACCAGGCTTCCCTCGCTGCCCCGGCCCTCCACGGTGTTGTGGAAGAAAACCAGAACGGACGCGTTGGGGGCCTGGGGGGAGAGGGGAATGTGGGAGCTAATGAGGTTGGCCCCTTTCCACCCACTGGAGCTTGGCGAGGGCTCCGTTCCCAGGGAGGAGCCTACACAAGACTTTTCCCATCAACTCCTCCCTGCAGGCACACCTGACCCCATGCTATGGGCTGAAATGTGTCCCCCCAAAATTCACACGTTGAAGCTCTAACCCCTAGGTCTCAGAATGTGACTGTATTTGGAGATGGGTCCTGTAAAGAGGTAATTAGCTTGTGCTCCCTAATCCAATATGATGGTGTCCTTATAAGAAGAGATTAGGACACAGACACACACACAGAGGAAAGACCACGTAGACACACAGGGAGGAGGGGAAGACCATCCACCCTCAGCCAAGGAGAGCAGCGTCAGAAGAAATCAACCTTGCTGACACTTTGATCTTGAACATCAGGCCTTTAAAATTATGAGAAAATAAATTGCTGTTGTTCAAGACTCCAAGTTTGTGGTACTTTGTCAGGGCAGCCCAGGCAAACTAATAAACCCCGCTTCACAGATAAGGAAACTGAGGGTCACAAAAAGCGAAGACACGTGGCCCGCGCTGCAAAGTGTGCATGTGGCCAGAATGGCAGCTCACAGCAGACGCGCAGTCCTTATCATGCAGCTGTGCAGTCACCCAAGACCCCAGTTCTGGCTACTAGTTTATTCCAGAAGGAGGTTGTGGGGCCTTGGTGAGTCCTCCCTGCTCAGCCACCCCGACTGAAACCCCATCCTGGTGATGCAGGGCTACCTTTTATTAAGCACTGGCCGACAGCCAGGCACTGGGCTAAGTATTTAATTCATTCGGTCCTCACGCAACTCTGTGAGGTGGCGTGTTATTATCACTCCCATTTTACAGATGCGGAAGTAGAGGCTTAGTGAAGCAGCTTGTCTGAGACCACAGAGCAGCTAGGAAGTAGCAGATCTGGGCTTTGAGCCTAGGCTGACATTTTTGTATTAGATTATAGTGTTCCAACTAGGGGATCTGACACCCCGCCCCAGGCCAGGGTATGTGCAAGGCCCCAGGTGGCTCATGCCATTCAGGCCCTGCCTCTCTGTGCTGTGACTTCTCCACTCCACGTGCCACAGGCTCTGACACACCAACAGCAAGCAGTGACCGAGGACCTGACTTAGTGGCTACTACACCCAACTAAAATGTCTCCTTAGGGCCTCCGTCCCATGTGGCGGATGCTCTGATAAGCACCCCCTTCTGGAGATGTGAACACAGAGGCCTGGCGCAGTGCAGTCACTTCTAAAAGCACCAACAGGAGCGCAGGGCCAAGCTAGAATTCCGGCCCAGGGCTCCCCCAACCCCCAGTACACTCTCCCGGGTTCTTCCAGCTCTGAGGTGTTGAGTCTTCATACATGAAGATTTTTTTAACGTCATAGAGAAAGGCTGGCTGAGGTGGCCCTGGTTTCGTTGGCCAAGGGCTGTCAGGCAGGTCCGGGCTGGGCCCCGAATCCCCTACAAGAAGTGCCCTGAGTACCCCTCATTGGGCAGCACACCACCGAGAGAAAAGGCTGTTCGGGTCGCTGCAGCGAGAGTCAACGCAGTGGGGGCAAGGCGCGAGGTGAACGTCAGCCCTCAGCCTGAGACCCTGTTGGCCACAGGAAGAGTCCGTGCTATGGGCCCCTCCTCCGCAGGGTCTGTCCCTGGGGCGCCCATGCACTGCTGTGGGATTACGGGATATGGCAGCCACACTCCTCACCCATGGCCAGGATGGGGTGACAGAGCAGCCAAGAGAAGAGTGGCAAAGCAGCCCCGGCCTGGGGACATGCCCGCAGGAAGGGGCACGGGGCCTGGAGTCAGGAGACGAGATCAAGCCTCCGCTCAGCCCAGCTGCTGTGTGCCCTCAGGGGAGCATAACCTGAGCAGGGATGAGGGAACGGTGCTGGCAGCTGTGGGGCTCGGGGGCTGCTGACCGGCAGATTTTAGGCAAACAAGCCAAGGCCTCAGAACTCACCATGTTCTGAGGGACGAACACGTTGAGATACAAGCAGTCCTCGCTGACTCCAGACGACGCGGGCGTTCTGATTCCTGGCTGCCAGCAGCTGGCCCTGCAGGTACAGGCTGTATGACTTCCAGGGGAAACAACCAAGAGAACGTGCCCGCGTCCCCTGCCGGCCCAACAGCAGTGGCCAGAGCCCACCGGCTCTGCGGCAATCAGGCAGCAATTAGGTCCCCGAGTCACTGCCTGGAGCCGAGCACATCGGCCCCTCCCTCACCACATGGACTTCGTAGGAGCGAGGAAATGCTAAGTCACTGATGTTTGGGGGTTTACCTGTCAGAGCACACAATGCCACCGTAACCATTCACCTTCCTCCCCATGCACGGCTCAAACTGGAATGCATGGCTCTGCCACCAGGAAAGGGGCGATGGGAGCGGCAAGTGACTGTCAGGAAGAGCTGGGTGCCCATCCCTGCCCCTGCCACAGGCCTGTGGAGGAACATCCCCCAGAGACAAGGCGCGAACCCAAAACAGAGAAGAGACAACAGAGGCCCCTCAGGACCGTGGCCCTTCTTTGCTCTGTTCAGATGTGCCCTGTCTCCAGACGGGGTGTCCGACTGCTTTCTGCACCAGCACCAAGTCCGGCTGTGCCAGTCTGAGCTCTCCTGGCCCCAGAGCTGAGATCCTGCCTGGGACACACCTAATGTCAGCGGGGCGGTAATGCAGCCAGAAGACGGTCCTACGATCCTGCTCACACCCCAAGCCCCATCAGCCCTGGGCTCTCGTGAACCAAGCCCTGCAGTTAGCCTCCGCTCAGAAGCCCGTGCACCTCTGCCACCGCACCTGTCACTTGAGTACATTCCAAGGTGCTGAAGTGCCCTAGTCAGTGCTGATTCGCTCCTCTTGTTTCCCAAAGGTGGAGAGTTATCTGTGGCATTCGGCATTTTCCTGCCACTGCCCTCGTTGAAGCCTTTGTCAGCCCTCACCTGGAGGATTCCCACTTCCCGAGAGCCTCCCATTTCATTGTCCTTTCCGGCCTGGGCCTGCGGAGCTGCCCCGCAGGTGGCCATGGGTGACAAGGGACAGGGGGAGGCAGCTGCCTCAGGAAGAGCGGTACGTGCCTGTCAGAAGGGCAAATGCCCGAGAGGAGAGGGGTGCTCTTTTCACGAGCACCCTGACCATGATTTAATTGGAAAAATCAAAAAATCTCTCTAACAGGTCAACAGAAAAATCACAATACCTCTCTAACATGTCAGCAACTACAGTTATATATTCAGGCAGAGGAAGGGGCGAAACTGAAAAGAGCTGATGAGGGAGGGAAACAGGATATGAGTGCTTTTTCCCTTCTTTTTTGAAAGTTTCTTTTGATATTGTCCCTATTGAGGAAAAAAGCCCTCTTTAAAATTTTTTCATTGCATACTTTTACAGATATGCTTCCTTCTCCTTCGTATTTCTTAGCACAACTGAACTCAGGCCTGGCCAGCGCGTGCGAGCAACGTGTGTACCCCTCCCACAGGCATGGCCCATAGAGCCTCCCCGGGAGACCCTTCCACAGCCTCTCTTCCCTGGATGCCACGTCAAGTCAAGGGAGGTTCCTGCTAAAGAAGGCGGAGCCTCCGTCTGCCAGGTCCCTGAATCACCGCAGGGAGCAGGACACACTGACCCCTCCAGCACTAGGGGGATTTATAGGAGCGAGATAATGCTAAGTCACTGATATTGGGGGCACATAACGCCACCTTAACTTTACACCCCCAGCCCCAGAAACCGCTTAAACGCGAATGCACCACTCTACCACCAAGTCTGCCGGAAGGATTAGAAAGGCGGAGGAATTCACCAAAGTGCATGGCACTCAACACTTACTGTGGCTCGGTGGCAGCCCAGGACCCTGTCCAGTTCAAGGGCTCTGGTGCCCGGAAGCGGCCTTCCCCCAGGGGCGGGGCAGCGTATGGCACTCCCAGGAACTGGTCCACTTGCTTCCACGAGGTGCCCACCTGGATGGCCCGGGCCCTGCCCAGCAGCTGGCCAGAGGGAGCGATGGTCACAGAAGGTGCGGACGTCCCGGAGCCGAGCAGAGAGAAGTCTGTTGGGATGGGGAGTGGAGAAGGAAGTGGGGGGATAGAGCAGTGGGTGCTCTATTCACAAGGAATATTCTGAACATGCTTTCAGAAACAAACACTGCTCTTTGCTCTTTAAAAATACGGGTAATTCATTGAGACACCAATAGCTTACATCTAGTGAGGTTAGTGCTCCACGTGAAGCAGGAAAGAATAGCAAAGACAGCCCGTTTTCCCCAGGCACCGACCGGGCAGAGCGCAGCTCTAATCCCCTCTCTCCCGGTCACCTTCTAGCTCATCAGTTTTTCCCAGGGATTAGGCCAGGCCCCCTGCCCGTGCTCACTCAGCACCCAGGGCCAGGCGTGCGCCGCAGGTCAGAAATGTTGGGTTTTTAAGAGAACTGAAAGACACAGACACGCCATGTGCAGTCGGCACAAAGGTCCGGAGGAGGACCGCATCACCAAACACACGCGTCGCTGTGAGAAAAGGCTGCTAAGGAGGAATGAATAAGGGAGATAATTTCTTCAGTCACAAACTCCTGGTGTGATTTTGCCACCAAATGAAGCTTGCCACAGACTTAAAAGAAAATTTTTTTTTCTGCCTTTTAGGATTTTCAGACTTCAGAATTGCAGCCGAGGAACCGGGGGCCCCGTGTGCGTTTCACTGGTGAGAAAACGGGTGTTGAGGCCGGTGGTGGGTGGCCGCGCGGCCTCCAAGCCGCTGTGGGATTCAAGGCCACGCCTTTCCGAGCCCCATCTCTGATCTTGCCCCGTTTCACACAGGGTCCAGGGCCTCTTCCTGTGCCTGCTGCATCCCCCTTCCCTCTGTTCGCATCCCAACCCCACCTGGACTGCGAGGTCAGAGCCGGCGCCCCCTGCCCTGCAGGCCCTGTGCTCCAGCGCGCCTTCCGCCCCGCCTTGCCGTGCTCATCACCAGACGCTTGTCTGGGAAGTGCCAGCTTATCTCCTGTATCTTCCACTTTCATGGATTCAGAAAACTGCCAAATACACTTTTAGGAACTCGAAACAGGCCTGTGTCTGAGTCCCCACAGGGCCTAGGCCCCCCCTTCCTGCACAAAGGACAGAAACACTGGTGAGGACATTCTTTCCCCCGCTGCCGCCTGCCCCTCCCTCAGCGTGTGTGCGTGTGTGTGTGTGTGTGTGTAGTTTGTTATTATTGCCTTCAGGTGTGCTTGCTTTGCTCTGCTTCACTGCAGCTGGCTGAGAGAGGATGCTTCGCTGTTCCCTGCGCAGCTCCTTGTACTTGTGATACACGTATGAAGATTAACAGGAGCCTGGGACAGGAGGCAGGCAGACAGACAGACCGACTGACAAAGTCTAGCCATTCCTCAAAAGCTGGGTATAATGCAATAGTTCCACCAAAGGTATTTTTGTCCGCTGGGGACATTTGTCTGGAGACATTTTCGGTTGTGGCAAGGGTGAAGGAGACAGGCTGCTGACGCCTAGTAGGGTAGAGGCCAGGGATGCTGCTGAACATCCCGCCACAGATAAGATGAGACTCCACAGCAAAGAATTTCCCAGGGCCCAGCTGTTAGTGGTGCTAGGGCGGGAAACCCTGGTACGCCGTGTGTCCACGACCGCCAGGGCCGAGGGTCAGCGGTGAGGAGGGCCCGGTGGCTGGTCTGGGGAGTTGAGCAGGCCTGTGCTTTATGTTATAGACCAGCTGCTTTGGAAAACTTCATAACTTTTTGTGCCTCCCATTTTCCCACCTGCAAAATAGAAATAATAGTGGTCCCTACACTGCAAAGATGTTAGGAATAAGTAAAATCATGAACGTAGTGTTCCAAGCCCAGGGACTGGCAAATGATAGCTCAACACATGGATGGACAGACAGATGGATGGATGGATGAATGAATGAATGAAAAAGAGGGAAGAAAGGAAGGGAGGGAGGTGGGAAACTGAACAAAACCTTCTCTGTTGCAAAAACATTGGGGTGTGAGTTGGAACTTAAAATGGAAACTCAGGATGGGAAGAAATTGTTGCTGCTTTTTAAACTTGTCTCCCTTGCACATCACAACTGATCTCTCCCCCAGAGCGCCCTCTCACAAGACTTCCTGTTTCAGGTGGCACCCAGAGGGGCTCGGGCAAGCGTGCAAGGCTGTGGGCGCCACGGTCGCAGGACTTTCTGAGGCCATTTCCTTTGCCCTGCAGGAAAAGGCCACATTTCATGAACGTGGCATCCTCTGAAGGGGGAGCAAAGACAGAAAATGCAAAAGCAAAGAATTTCGAGGGAATGCAAGCTGGCTTTCCCACGGACCGTGGCATCCACCCCTCCCTCACCGAGGCTGCCGGATGAATCCCAGACCAGACAAGAGCCAACGTGGGGAAAATGTTAGATGTGCTATTCTCCCTTCTGAACTCTTTTGCAGAAATGGTGGGTTCTTTCCAGAATATCCACGTATTTAGGCCATTCAGCTATTTCTTAACTACATGGGTGAAGAAAACCAGCTGTAGCTCTCTAGGTGCCTTAGGTACTAACAACGCCTCTGTGAATACACGTAAACAAGCATCTTCTGCTGCAGGTGAACATTTCACTGGAATTTGAGTCACACACAGGTAATAGAGAAAGGGTCTAATCTGTTTTACAGAACTGAAGCCTCAAAGTTAAGGCATTTCTCAGCAGACTAGCCCACGGATTAGCTACACTATGGGTGAAATATGCGATCGAGACCCAACTTGACTAAATAATAGAAATGTCCAGATAGAAAACAACAGTTGAGATGGAGGGCCCAAGATCTCAATATTCCCCGGCTTGGGGGACACTCTCATGGTCTGAGGTGGAGGAGAGGCAGAAGAGGACAATTATCACTGGATCAAGACAACCCTGAATTACCATCCATGTTCTAGGACGGGGTGGGACCAAATCCACCTGCTACCTTCTTTTATAAATAAAGTTTTATTGGCACATAGCCATGCCCATGGATCTACAGATTGTATAGTCTGTGGCTGCTTTCCTGGGAGAGTGGCAGAACTGAGTACTTCTAACGGGGACGATAAATATTGTGGCTAACCTCTGCTTTTATGATAAGATGGCAGACATAGCCGATATTTCTAAAAAGTTATTAATTTTATCCAATAAGTATGTTGGGGTAGGTGCATTCCCCAGGCCCCACCTCCCATGTGTCCTGTTACACGCATCTCACCACTTTGACTGAGCGATGGACTTTCATGTATGTTCCCATCCCCTTGCCTGCTTCATCCCCGCATCCCCAGCACCTAACAGTGCCTGACACATAAGAGCACCTCACGGGTTGTTTTTAAACTGAGCCAGGAGCAGCAGCCCTTTCTAAAGTGACTCGGATGCGGTTACGGGGCCATGCGGTCCCGTGGGAGAGGGGTGCTTCTGGAGTGCAGGCCGGGCTCCCGTCCCTCCCCTGTGTCGGCTCGGTGTGAAGGCAGAGGAGTGACCTGACTTCTCCGGGCCCGCGCCTCCTGATCTCTAAGACGGGATAAAAGCCCTTCTTTTACTACCTCACGAGATTAGCATGAGGACCAAATGAGAGAAGCTGTGTGACAGAAGTTTCTAAACTACAAAACAGTAATGAAAAGTGGTCTATGGAATTACTTTACTAAGAAACTCAAGGGCCAAAATGGCTTCTATGACTAACGGACTAAGTGAACAGAGACGGCGCGGAGATCTGCCCTGGAAGGGGCTGCCGCCTCCTTCAGTCCATCCCAAGTGCGTGCCGCAGAGCCCAGGGTATCTTTGGCTGGCTTTTCCTTAAGAACCTCAAAAGCCACTGCCCACAGGCCACCCCACGCTTGGACAGTCCCTCTCAGCCATAGCCAGGCTCCCAGGAATGGCCCCAAAGGCACAGGCCGGGACTCACTCAGCTTCCGGTAGATGTATGTGGCCTCTTCACGGAGCAGCAGCTGGCAGTACGGGGCCTGCAAGCTGTGTGTGCAGATCTGCGTGTCAGCATAGAACATGCACCTCAGAGCACCAGGTCGGGTCTGCAAGGTGGTGACCAGGCAGGCTTGGTGACGGGCACACTCTGAGGGTTAGAGGGAGAAGAGTGAGGACTGGGCCTCAGAAATGCCATTTAATCATGCATCCATGCATGCAGCCATCCCTGTATGCATGCAACCATTCCTCCATGCACTCATGGATCCATCCACCCATCCATCCATCTGTCCATCCATACATACATCCGTACATCAATGCATCCACCAATGCACCAATGCATCTGTCAATGCATACATCCATTCATCCATCCATCCATCCATCCGTCTACCTACCCATCCACCCACACATACGACCCATCCACCAGTCATTCAACAAACTACTTATTCATTTGAGAACCTACTATACATCCCAGACACTGTTGCAGGGGCTGGGAATAAAATGCTGGTGTGGGAGAATCCAACTCTCCCCTCAATCTATTCCCCTTACAACAGTCAGCTTTGGAGTTATTTATTTATTCATTCATAAATGCGCTCTTGTCATTCACCTGTTTAAAATACTCCACGGCTCCCCACGGGTCACAGGATGAAGCCAGACCAGGTAACGCTCTCTGTACTCCAGTCTGTGCCTTCTCCTCCCGCCTCCTCTGCCTCCCCTCTCCCCATGATACCCTCCACGTCCCACTCTGGGTCATGCCGTCTCCTACACTAGGTCACTTAAATTGTGCGTGGCATTCAGTCCTAAGAATAGCTTTGAAAATAGTGCTGCCTCGTTTGCTTGGGCCAGCTGGGCTCTGCCCAAAGGCCTTATTTCTGCCCAGTCTCTGTGCTGTGGCGCCACCGAGAGTTGTGCAGCGCACAGCCTGTACCTCTGTACACAGCATGTCTGTAAGACATGCATAGTGTCACTCAACCTTGTAGGGGAGGAGATTCACGGAATTGCCGAATTGGAGGAGGGTGAAATTTACCTAATCTCCATCTCTTACAGAAGCTAAAGTCTTTGTGGAACATTCCAACTGAGTGGTCACCCAGCTTTTACCTCTAAATGAAGTATGTATTTGTGGACAGATTTGTCTATTAGAAAGTTCTTTATATTGCACTGAAAAATTTCTCTGAAAATTTGAGTTTTACACGTAGGTCTGAGCTCTGCCCCACGAGCTCGGCCAGAATGGGCACATTTCTTCATCGCCACGATGGCCCGCCGGGCGTCTCAGGACAGCTGCCTCAGTTCACTCACCCCCTCGGTCCCACGCTGGCCAGCCCCCCAGGGCACTCTTCCGACCCTCCTCCGACCTGGTGCAACGCCACTCGCTTTCTGTGTGATGTGTCCCCGGGGAGACCCTGACTGCGGCTGACTCTGAAGGCGCATGAGGACACTGCAGAGCGGAGCCCACTGAGCGTCTCCCCCCGGGGCAGTCCCTGCCTGCCAGCACCCCATGGTATCTTGGGGTCTCGTATGTGTTCCTGGGGTCAGAATCGTGAGCTGCACTTGTATGAGGTCCTGTCCCAATCAACCCCACTGTGGTGAGGTGGGGGGTGAGAGACGCCCCTTACCCAACAAACAGAGGTCTCGGGCAGCAGAGAAGGTGCTGATAGCAGCCGTGCTGATGTGGGCAACATCGAAGTTCCTGATAGACGGGTCAACGACCACTGAAGAGAGGGCCAGGGTCTGCCATGAGTCCAGAGCGACTAGGGGAGAACACAGGGGACATGCATCATACGCTGTTTTCACCTGGTGCATGAAGATAGCAGAGTGTCACCTGATGTCCCCAAAGGGCAGCCCTGCCGCAGGGCACCCTCTTCCTGGTCTTTATTGTAGTATGATACATCCCTTTATCCACCCCTCCATTCTATAACCATTTAGTAAGTTTTTATTGGCCAAATTTTGTACCTCAGTTTAGGGATACGAAGGTTAAAAAAACACAAACAGAACAAACAAAAGCATGGCTGCTTCTTTTAAGCAGGTCACGGTATAATGGGAGGGAAGCCAAAAAGAAGACAAACATCATGTACTTGTTAGAATGCAATGATTAGAAGAGCGCTAGGAACAACGATAACAACAGATGCGTCAGTGTTTACGTGGCACTGTGGTTAGGCCTTCAACAGGGCGGTATCGCCAAGCCCTCCCTCAGCCCACGGAGTCAGGAAATGCCGTCACTCTCCCCGTGGACACCATGGTGTCCTGCCTGAGCCCCCTTCAGGTCCGAGGCTCTCGTTTCCCCAACTGATGGGACATTGGTGGCCACGGGCTTCCAGCTGAGTCCATCCCCAGGAATTGCCTTTGGTCTGGATGAGCTGCCGCCCACCCCCCCTCCCCAGGGTCAGCCTTTGTCCAGAAACTAGTCCATATGGGAACACAACGGCCCAGGCCCCTCGTCTCAAGATGGGGCAGCTCTGAAGGGCCAGCCTGGCGTCGGAGCTCACGGAGGCCACAATGGGGCATGGCTCAGGTGGCATCACAGTTGGACTTCTGCCCCTGCCCAATCTGCCCCTCGCTTCCTTGCAGGCGTGGCTCCCGAGAGCAGTGCCACGCCCTGAACTCCCTGCACGCAAATCTCCATCGCAGAGTCTGTTTCCGGGAAAGCCCCAGCCGAGGCAGAGACACTGGAGCACAGCGTGGTAAAACAGCCCGCCGGAGCGCGCCCTTCTTCAGGGAGGACCGAGACTGAAAGTAGGTCTTTGCCCCGCTACTGCTCTACGCACTTCCTCCCACATCCTGCGCACAGGTCACGCTGTCACAGCGAGTGAGAGGGACACGCAGGTGTGGCTGCCAGAGGAGGGCTGGCAGAGATCTGCCGGAGTGCCTGGGTCCCTGTAGGGACGGAGGCGACCCGGGACAGGGGACTTCAGCTCCCCCTCTGAGGAAGGGTTGGGGGCTTGGTCAGCGGGCACATTATTCTGCCTACACACAGCGTGAAAGAGTGTGAAGAGCCGCCCCCAGCACGGGCCTGTGGGGCCGGTCGGGAGTGCTGATTCTCAAACATTCCAGGGAGCTGTTCGCTGGGTGCATCATGGGTAACCCATGGCAAGAATCTTTCTATTTAGTGATCTTTGGTTTTTGCCTTTGATTTTGTTTTTTAGAAGTTCATGGTAGTTTGCCCTTACATTAGTTGTGAGCTTTTACCTTGCACGGGCAGACCTCTGAGGCGATCTCAGGCACAGCCCTTTAGAGCTTACAAAGCACCGTCCCTCACCAGCTAAGCCTTTTGGGGGTGTTGCTCCATTCCCTCAGTTTCTTCGCCTGTAAGACATCCTCACATCTGATCCCTGAAATGTCCCGGGGGAAGGGTGGAGTAGGGACACTAAAGCCTCCTTCACAAATGTGGTGTTGGACACTTGGAGAACTTACAGGACTTTCTAAGGAAAAAGAACTGGACAGTGACCGAGCCACAGATAACTAGGCCTCCTGGGTATAAGCTGTCCCTCATAGAGCTGCATGTCCTTTCCAGAAAATTGTCTCCAGGTTAGGGGAAAAAAAAAAAGCCATTGTTTTTAATAGCACCACACTTTTAACTCTGTGGGAGAGCCTGACTTTTTTTTTTTTTTTTTTTAATCAAACATGCCTTTGACACCCAGAGCTCTGGGAGCCACTAAAATTAGGGTGGTAACAAAGTACCAAGACAATCTAGCACTATAACCCCTTTTTGTTCCATTTAAAAATAAAAACAGAAAAAGAGAAGTCACCAAAGTACACCACAGGATTTCACATGGACTCAGCAAGGAGAGGGTGGACCCCCATTCGGGTCCTGGAACCATGGGGCCACTTTCCGAACCAGGAGCCCCGTCTTCCTGAACTTGGGACCCATTCTCCCTGCAAGAGATGCTAGGCTTTCATCTTCTTAAGCATCTTTCACATGTTGCTATTTTCACAGTCAGTACAAGTGGCACTTTTGCAACATGACCAAACTGAGGTGCACATTTTTAGATGACGAGCACACTGCAGTTTCAGAAAAGAGTTATGATGGGGCTTCAGGACCAAACTTGCCAATTATGGTCTTAAAATGGAAGCCCCAGCCGCACTTGCACTTCAATTGCTGTCTCGGGGAAAGCGCTGTAATTGAAGGATGCGTTTCATCTCCACGCCGAGAGCCAGCTCAGCTGTCGCCATCCCGGGGCCTGGAGCCAAGTCTCTGCCACATCCGCCACCTGTCCCCATCCTCCCACCAGCAGGAACCCCCAGGATGAGCGATTGCTGTCACGCAGAATCCGGCATCTGGGGTTCATGCATCTCATGAGCACGCTGAGGACAATCTCTTTGTGAACGCAAACACATGGGGAAGCGTGAAAGCTGGGCATCTTGGGAGCATTTCATGTGTTTGCTCTTTGCCAAGAACCCAGCAACACCATTGCATTTAATACGGTCTATAACCCAGGCTGCGGCACCACTACTGCGCGCCTCCTATAAATGAGGAAAACGGATCCAGCGACTCTCTCAAACACCTTTGCTGATTCGTGGAGATGCCAGGGCTCGAGTCCAGCTCCTTCAAGTTCAAAAGCCAGCGTTTACTACGACGTGCGGTCTTCTTTCCAGGGAATGAAGTGGCGACAGCTTTGGGGCACACCCAAAGAATGAGTCCGCTCCCCAAGCAGCATCTGTGTTTGTTGATTAGCTTTAATGTCTTCTTTTGTTTAAAATATATTTTATAAATTGCAATGCCAGCATCACATATTTTTTAAAAATCTCCCCTTGAATTGGAAATGCCGTATTTATCACCCATGAGGTACTTGTAAGTACAAGGCTCTTTGTTTGGTGGGCAGCTACACTTTTTCATTTTGTTAATTTTGGTCCTACTCACACACTGCTGAAGCTACAGTCACTTTATAATGCACTTTATCATCTCGCAGTAAAAGCCTTCCCATATTGTTTTTCTTTTAGAAATACTTCTTGGTTATTTCTGGCTACTTACTTATCAGATGAAATTCAAATCATTTTGTCAAGTTTCAAGAATGCTCCTTTGGGACATGAAGTGGAAAAATGGATTTGGAGAAAAAGATTTAGAATTCTTTATGTTTAATTCGTGATGTCATTAAAAATGAAACAGGATTTTTTCATTATAAATATTTTTAAATGGTCATTAGTGACTTAAAGGAAAGCTATTTCTTGGTGTGTTTTTCTAACAGGACACTGAACGCTCAGTGTAACTCACGCAATAGTTGCAACTCAGCCTCTTTTCTCTACGGTTACTTTGAAAACAGGCTCAACCCGGATTCCAGGTTTAGCGATGACAGGCCGTGGGACCCTGGAACTAGTCATTGGCTCTGAGCGTATTTCATTAATGGGATGGACCCGGTGAAGCAGCCCGGTTTCTTGAGTTTATCCCAGCTCCTCCAGTTAATAGCTCTGTGACTTTGGGCAAAACCCTCTCCTTCTCTGAGCCTCAGTTTGCTCGTCTGTAAAATGGGGGTCCTATGGGATGCTCTCTCCGAGGACGGTAATCAGGAATCAATGAGTTACTATCCGGGGTGGGGGGCTTCCTGAATGCAACCGCTTGCACTGCCTCTGGGCCAAGCTGCTGGGTTCTTGCTGCATTTGTCACTGTCTTTTCAAAACTGTGGAGGCCTGAGCCTGACTTAGGTCCCAGGACACCTGCTTCCTGCCCAGTGGCACCTCACCCTCCACCCTCGGGCCCTGTGACTCCTCAGCCAAGTCATTATTAGCACAGCCGCACCAGGAGCGTGTGCCTGTCTGTCCACTGCGCCTCCATCTCCTCAGGAGACGCGCTGCTGAAAACCGCGACATTTGTAAACAGTGTATCAAGGTTCTACCAGCGCGCCACCCCCCACCCCCGCCCCCACACCCCATCCTGCTCTTCGCCCCCACACTGTGATGTTTCCTCTTTGGGAAATTCCTCCACGCCCACCCACTGCGCCACCCAGAAACCCGGCCGTCCTCATTGCCTCCCCGTCCTTGCCCGCCCACTCCGCCTTCTCAGCCCCCCGGAAGCCGGCCTTTCTTCTCAGCCCCCCGGAAGCCGGCCTTTCTTCTCAGCCCGGATTCTGGCCTCGCCCACTTCACCGCAGTTACACAGGCGCCAGTTCCGAGACCCGGCCGGGCCTCCCCGTCACCAGCCTCACCCTCTCTCCCGCCATCGTCATGCTCCGGCCAGGGCCACCTGCCAATCTGATCACACCCATCACTGCTCCGTGTCCTCGGGTGCGAGGCCAAGTCCTGGGGGGTCTCCAGCTGCATCGCCCCTCCCACTTGCGGGGGCGGGCCTGGGCGCACCCCCACCAGGCCATATAATCGTAACGCGTGGAAAGAGATATCACTGCTCTATGAAAGTTGAATTGTTGACTCACAGCGACCATCCTCGCAGCAGAGGCAGGGGACGCAGGGCGGTCCCCAGGGTCACAGGGCAGAAACTGGTGCCAGGCCCCACTCTGTCTCTAGCAGCCCCGGATGGCCACCTTCCCAGCAGCGGAGCTCGCCCTCTAGGCCCGGCCCGGCCCCTGCGCTGTGGTGGTGAGGAGTCTCGGTGACAGCTTACGTATAAAAGACAACCTGAGTATGAAACAGACCGTGGAGAACATGCCCTTGGGGCCGTGCGGGCCCTTCAGCTGAGCCGCGATGGTGGCCCGGAAGGAGAAAGACTCCGCAGTGTCGCACGGCCCCTTCCCTCGGTAACGGGGTACACTGGCAAGGGCGCTACCATCCAGGGGGCAGGCGGGAAGGGCTTCAAAGCTCAGGA